TATTAGCTCCTCTTCAGGGGGTCCTCAGAACATGGGTTTCTTGGTGGGGAGCAGTAGTCTTGCTTGGGTGACAAACACCTGACTGTCCTTGCTGATATGCGCCTATCCTAGCCCAGGGTGGGGGCTGTTTGCTATTGATAGCCCGGAGTCTGATCCTGGTGTCCAGGCTTTCCGGTGACTATATTCCAGACCGCCTGGGTCAGAAGACGGTTAAGGGTCCCCCTGGGGGACCAATCAACCTGACAGACGGTGCAGAGTTGGCTGGATGTCATTTTGATACCGCACTCTCCCGTGAAGCCCAGTCCAAGATTCTGGTCATACATTCCAGAACAGTGGGTTTTGACTGTTGGTTTCCTATTGTATGAGCGGTGTCTCCTGACTGGTGTAGTGACAAACAGGGGACTTTCTCTTTTTCAGGAGTTCAGTCAGGTGCTCGCCCAGCCGTGTCCTTCGGGAACTTACGTAAGTTTGGGCTAAGGTGTACCCATATAATCCCTGGGCCTGGTCACCTCTCAAGAGAGGGAATCAGTTTCGCCTTACGTTACCACAGAACCTCAGGTTGGAGCCCATTCAGACCCCATAGCCAATGCTGTGAGGCCAAAATCACGCGCGCACAGACACACGCAGGCACACAGAGGCTATTATGTTCCCTCCCACTGGCATTTCTTCTGCCTAACCTTAGGAGGTGGTCAGCTTCATCTTCTGCCCGTTAGGGCAAGCCTGTCTAGAGACTGGATCCCAGGGTCTTACCTGGTCCTGGAAGTTACAAGACTTTTGGTCCGCCTCTCCCGACAAGTCTGGTGGGGTGGTAGGTGCCGCGGGGCCGCTGCTCCCCGGCGAGTAAAGGGGTGGTGGCGCCTACTCGTTTCCCAGGGGGAAGGGCGCCCATTGGCTAGCATCCCAATTCCAAGCTGGTGGTACAAGGGGCCAGCACAGTCGGTTCCCAGTCAGGGAGCCAAATGTTGTAGCAAATCTGGAGGCGCAAGAAAGCAAGCGGCACTCAGAGTGACGGAGGAGAGCAGGTTTTTTTGGCTGGTGACCCAGGCAGGCCTACGGGTCTCTTAAGTCTGGGCCCCGTTTCTCTTTGTTCGTGACTTTTTATACCAGTGTTTTCCAGGGGAGGGAGAGTGAGTAAAGTCTCACAAGGACAGCAGTTAGAGTAGTGGAATTGACAAGCAGATGCCTCAGTCAGTTAGATAAGGATGTACCTAGGGTGTAAGTTTCTTTCTTGCATCTCTTGTTGTTGTTAAGTGCCGTGGAGTTGGTTCCGACCCATAGAGACCCTAAACAGGGTTTCCAAGGCTGTAAATCTTTATGGGAGCAGAAAGCCTCATCTTTCTCCCACGGAGCAGCTAGTAGTTTCGAACTACTGGCCTTGTGGTTCGCAGCCCGATTCATAACCACTACGCTACCAGAGCTCCTTGCATCTCTAGGTTATAAAAATTCCTCCTCCCCTTCCTGCCCTCTTCAGCAGGACCAAAGCTGCACATTTCTGTGCCATTCACTAGCCCGCCCCCTGGCCACAACTGGTACAGGAAGTTGGGCATCCAATGTCAGCACCAGGACACAGCAGTCCGTCCCAAGGAACACAAGAGGTGGTTCTGGCTTCTCCACGCGCACAAGCCCCATAAACCAGTCCCTCATCTGATGCAGGGCCCTGGGAAAGCCCACATCTCCGGCCCCCTCCACACTGCCTTGAATATTCAGACATGAGGCCATATGTGGGTGGAGGCAGACATCCCCTCCCCACCCACCCCCAGTCTGCCCTCCACACTAGGTGAGAACAAATGTACCAGGTTCCAATCTGACAGCACAATTCACACTGACTCTCTCCCAAGGTGCGGGGATCGCACCTTCCGGGGCAAGGATCACAGCTCCTGGGGGTGGCCTGAAGTGTTCCCAAAGGGAATGGGGCATTTCTGCCCCACACTGAAGTCCGCTTTCAGCTGCTCAGCATGACCCTCAGAGATGAGGCCAGTGAGCCCTAGGGCATTCCCACTCTCCAGACCCAGGCCCCACTCCAGGAACTGGTTCAGATGGCATCCGGCCCTGAGGGCTCCTGCAAACCCTTCCCTTCCCCCAGTCACAAACCTGCCAGAACAGGGTCCCTCATCAGATTGGGGCAGGGGCAGGGGCTGATGCTGGGGGCTCGGGCCCGGGGAGCGGGAGCCCTGCCTGCCTTCCTCCACACACGGGGCTGCCCAGGTCCCGCTCCTGGGGCCCGGCCCACATCCCGCACAGCTCCAGAAGTCGCTTCCATGTTGACTGGCAGCGCATAGCAGGAAACGCCAGCTGGTCACGACCAGAGGTCTGAAGGTTGGCTCTGCAGAGGCCATCAAGTCGCAGGGTACTCTACTTTGACACTGCAAAGTCTCAAAGCCATTCTGTCATGGACTGAATTTTGACTCCCCAAAATATGTGTCAACTTGGCTGTGGTTAGGCAGTTCTGTGATGATGCCCCATGCTATGATCCGGTATCACATCCCTCATGGGATTAGGGTAGAATGCAACAGCCTTAATCTGGTCCCAGACCTGATGCAATGCAAGAGAAGCTTCCCTGGGCTGTGGCCTGCATCCGTTAGCTTACAGGAAAGAAGAGACCTGACCACCACCAATGAAGGCCAACTGGTAGCAGAACACACATCCTTTAAACCCAGGGCCCCTGTGCTAGCAACCTCCGAGACCCAGGGGAAGACTGATCCCAAGCTATATGGAGAGCTCTGATGGACACCAGGTCCACAGCTGAGCAAACCATGAACTTGGACTTCTACCCTCCTAGTCTGTGAGAGGGAGTCCTGGTGTGGTGCTGGGGGTTAATGTGCTGGACTGCAAAGTCTGTTTGAACTGCAAGGTTGGTGGTTCAAGCTTACCAGTTGCTCCACAGAAACCCTATACGGTGTCTGTTGTTGTTATGTGCTGTCGAGTCGGTTCTGACCCACAGCAACCCTGTACAGGGTTTCCGAGGCTGTAAATATTTACGGGAGTAGAAAGCCTTATCTCTCTCCCACAGAACAGCTGTGGGACAAAACTGACTCGACTGCACTTAACAACAATCTGTAAGAAAATAAATTTCTGTAAAAACCATCTACTTGTGGTATTTTGTTATAGCAGCTCTAAAGAACAAAGACACACCAAATTGAGACCAGTGAGCCAGCCCTGAGACATCTCCTTCCTGTCCTCCCCCAGGACACTAGCCCAAAGGCCAGAGTAGCTGCCAAATGCCCCTCCCCACCCCTTCATCAAGGAGCTCTGGTAGTGTAGTGGTTATGAATCGGGCTACCAACCTCAAGTTTGAAACTAGCAGCTGCTCCACGGGAGAAAGATGAGGCGTTCTGCTCCTGTAAAGATTTACAGCCTCGGAAACCCTTTTCAGGGTCGCTGTGGGTCGGAACCAACTTGACGGCACTCAACAACAACAACACCCTTCATCAAACCAGGGTCAAAGATCCTTAGAGATCTTCAAAGGCCCCCATGGCCTTAGCAGGTTGGCACTGAGGGCTGGGAGGGGCAAACTAGGACCCCCATACCCCAAAGCAAGGTCCCCAGAGGTCTGTCATCTCTTCTTCAGAAAACATTTCAACTGTTTCTGAAAATGGCTCAAACCAGGAAGCTGGAATGCTAAAGTTCCATAAGAGCCCACCGGATAACACAAAGCTGTTAACATAAAAGCACCTTCAATTAAATTGATGACTGTCGGGAAAAGCCATGCTTCCAAGTTTAATACTTCATAGGCATCCAGAGTATATGACTTTAATTTTTTTTTTTTTTAACAGGGGGCGCTGTCAGCCCTGTCCCCAGCTTCTGGCCAGACTGGAGTCGTCACGCAGTGTTCTTACCTAGCAGGTCAGTGTGGCCCTAGGAACAGGCTCTGAGTTCTGGAAACTTCCCTCAGACGTTGATGACTGTTTGGAGGTTTGTGGAGCTCTTTTTTGCTACCACCTCCTCGCCAATCAACACCATTCCCTGCCTGGACCACCAAGCTCACCCCATCTCCACCAGGCAGGACACTTCATGCCAGCCACAAAAGAGATGACAGCTAGACAGACTGGGCCTGCCGACACCCACGGGGCAGACTCCGCTAGGGCTGGATTGGGTTTTTTCCCTCCAATTCAGAGGTGACGTGTTGAAAGTGCATTTTGACACTCCGGATGGGGCTAGAAGGGCTGGAAAACCTACAGGCAACGTCCACACCATCCATCTGTCTGTCCACCCCGGATCCCTGACTTTCCTGTCTTGCCCACCCCCCACCTAATCTGTCAACAAGTCACCTTCGCCTTTTCCTCTAAGTGTCCCCTTCTCTCTTCCTCATAGTCACCAACTGCTCAGACAATGGCCACCCAGGCTGCCTCCACCTTAGCTCCTTTCATGAATAATTATGGGACACCCCGGGATCCCCAACCAGGACCCCACAGCCTCTCATCTCCCTTGTCCCTTCCTCCCCTCCCATCTTACAACAGGCCCGGGTCTAGGCAGTGCCACCAGCGGAGGCTCCTCTTGTATAGAACCACCACGGTTTGGGACCGCACGAACCCACGCTCCGCCCGGTCCTCTCCCTCCTAGTCTCCTCTGCCCTGCAGATTTCCATGGCCGGCTGGCAGGCCCCCGGCCGACTCTTCTGGAAGACCCAGGACGGGATTCTCTCCGGCCGCCGACCGCCCAGAGCAGTCGGAGCGCCCACACCAGTGCGCAAGCGCAATGAGGGGGCGGGGAGTCGGCTGCATTAACCCCTCCCGCGCCGGCTCGCCCGAGGCCCCGTGGCCGGGCCTCTGGGCCGCAGTGAACCGTCCACTTACCCGCAGAAGTCGCGCAACCAGTCCTGGAACGCCCAGAAATCAGTCCAGAGTGGGATAAGAAGTAGACACCGACGCCGCACTCCCTACAAACGGCCATAGCTCTTTAACACACCTCCCGCCCGCGCCCATTGGCTGTAGCCTTGTGCGTCATCGCTGTGCGCCTTCCCGCTCCTAAACTCTGACGACAGAGCGGCGCCAGCTTCGGCGGCTGAGAGAGCGGGAGTCAGTGGCGTCGGCGGGAACATGTAAGTTGGCAAAATCCGACCCCATCCGAGTTTGGCGGGCTCCAAGCCTGGCCCGGAGGAGCGTATCGTAGACCCGGGCAGCTTCTCAGCCTGCGATGATGGCCACGGCCCGGCTTCGCGGACTCCTTGAAGACTATGAGCTGGGGTGGGCGGAGTGGGAGGTGCCGAGGCCGCGGCCCGGAAGTTGTCGGAAGCGCAGCGAACGGAAGGGCTTCGAGACTCCAGTAGGAGCGTGGCCTCGGCTCGCCGGCCCTGTCCTGGGAGAGCCCAAGGCCTGGGTCCAATGGGAATTGTGAGTGGACGTGGTCGAGGGGTGGAGAGGCCCAGAGGCCCGGGCTAGGGGCCGGTGGGAGCGAAGCGGCTTTTCGAGTTTCTCTCGGGGTCTTTCAAACATACCTTCCCTCCCCGAATGTTGACCGGTCTCCGTGCACCGTTCTTGGTGCGCGGCGGGGGGCTGAGACTGCCCGGCCCCCTACCACAGAGCTCAGTTTGATGGGTTACACTGGAAGGGAGGCTTCCGTAGTGATAAGGGTCAAGAGAGGAGACCGTGAACCGGGCTCCTCTATCTGATTTCTAGCATGAATTGTGCCTAAAATGTTTTTGTGTTTTTTTAAATGGGAAAAAGTGCTTTGAAGATGAGCGCTGACACCCGCATTCCCCCCGCTGGAACTGAACTAATTGTTATCTCCTCTCTCTGACTGTTTGACGCACACCTTTCCGGAGGATGGGGGAGGTGCCCGAGGTCCTGACCTGTTACCTGAGCTCGTGTGAACAGAGAACCTCCACCTTTGCGCTCTAGCCTTCGGCTTCGCCCAACAAAGCGTTCACTCCCGGCCTCTGGTTCTTACTTCCTAGTGTTTAAAAATAACTGAACTGGCGGTGCTTGGCTTTGGTTTCTACACCATGCACTGGGGGGAGGGGGACAGGCGTGTGTAGGGGGTGGGGGGTGTACACGTTTGCTCTGTCCGGTGCGGTGATGCCTACATGTGGCTTTGGAGCCCTTGAAATATAAGTTAGTCCGAATAGCAATGTTGAAATACCCATCTGATTGCAAAGGCTTAGTATGAAAGAATGCATTTTCCTTGTTTTTTTCTATTGATTCGTATCAAAGAGGCAGTAGAGATTTTGAAGAAGGCAGCTCATTTTTATCAGTGCATTTGTGCTTTTTGACACTTGGCAGGCAGAAACATTTGCCTTACACCGGGGCTTCATTCTGCTCCTGTTGTACAGACCTATGGGTCTGAAGGTGGCCTGCTGAGCTGTCACAGGGAAGAAAAGCTCCGAACGTAGACAAACAGCCTTCCTTAGAATAATGTTGTTGTTAAGCGCCGGTGAGTAGGTTCCAACCCATAGCGACCCTGTATAGGGTTTCCGAGGAGCAGCTGGTAAGCTTGAACCGCCAACCTTGTAGTTCAAATGGCTTTGCAGTCTGACGCATTAACCCACAGCGCCATCCCAGTACTCCTTGTAATAGTAGCTAACGTTTATTGAGACTTCCCATTGTGTGCCAAGTCTCTAGTGTGGATTAATTCAATTGATGCCCCTTGTAATCCTCTGAGGTGGAAACTGTAGTTGTTAGATGAAATTCTTGAGGCTCAGAAAGATTACTTATTCCAAGGTCACACAGTATAGCTCTGAGTTAAAGCCAGGTCGAATCCAGACTCTGGAATGAATATCTGCACTAATTGCTCAGTAGCACTGGCCTGCCTGCTGGGCCTCTCTAGTGCCTTCATATTTTAAGGCAAAAGTTTCTCCATCAAGAAGCTGTGGAGCTGATGCTCTGTCCACTTCTCTCATTTGACTCCAAAGCCAGGTGTTTTCTTTCTTGGGCTAGAGCACTTGTTCTTGCAGCATCCCTGGGAGGGGCACGCACATACGTGTGAACACAGGATCTAGGTGCTATGCTGGGTCCAGATGACTTGCAGGGGATTGAGAAAGGGGAGGATGAAGTTGGGGCTGCTCCTCTGAGGTCTTTGTTTACAGGTCCAACAAATTGTACAAAACTTCATGGAACTAAGAGGCAACCAGCCCTAAGTAATAAGGGCACATGGCTAATGGGTACTTGGTTTCTTGTATGTATTGTTAACGCCTCATTTGTTGGGCGTGTACTGTAGTCCAAAACAAAAAATGACCAAACCCAATGCCATCGAGTCAATTCGGACTGCACTCTGCTGACCCTTTTGCACGTGGTTCCTAAGTTTAAGACAGCTGCCGTAGCTGCTCCGTCTTTATTCTACCTAGCCATCCAGCACCCTCAGTTTGTCTTGCATTGAGGAGATTGCAGCCTTCAGTACACTGCTCCCTAAGTTCATGTGCATCTCCAATGGTTCTGTTTCAAATACTGTTGTTTTGTGCTAATAGGTCATTTTATCAGTTTGGGTTTGAGAACTAAATGCTCTGCTGCCGGTACTAGTTACTTTGAGATTCTTTTTGCAGCTAGTTATATTGTGTGCCGTACATCATAAAAGAAGCCACAGCCATAAAACTACAGCTCTGATAACACGAGAAGGACCACCCTTTTAGGCTTTGCTCTGATCTACGTGCAAATATGCAACATTTAAGGGACTAGTGGGTTCGTCGTTGAATGTATAAGTGAAAAAAACGGGTATTGTGCAACCTGTAATGACCGTGACTGTACTGCCTACATCATCGTTTCCTTAGGGAGGCCAAGGTGCCCCTTCGTGTGCCGCCGCCACCTTCTCATGTGTTCTGCTGTGTACTGCCTTGCCGATGCGTTCACTCTCAATCCTTTTATCTTGTTATTAGGCTGCTCTTTGGCGTAAATTGCCATCGATTAGGGATCGTTTCTCAGACTCGAGTTAGAAGTGAGAGTTCAGATAAGTGAGGCCGCCATTGCTGCTTTGACCACCTCAGAAGGAAGGGGAGAATGGATGTATCAGGAGTGAAAAAGAAGAGCTTGCTAGGAGTCAAAGAAAATAATAAAAGGCCCAGCACTAGGTAATCCTGCCCGATTTTTCCAGTGCTACTTTGGGGGTGCACACTGCTAGGGACCTTGAGGAAGGGGATGATTGAAAATGTGCATTCCTGGGACTGCCCGGGGTTCTTTGTAGCCCCTCCAATCCCCTCTCGGGTTGTCCTGTTGTTTCAGTGTTCAGAGTAGGGTGCCGTCTCACACTTTCCCTCACCACCCAGGGCTCCTTCTCCGACCAAGCGCAAAGACCGCTCCGACGAGAAGTCCAAGGATCGCTCCAAAGACAAGGGGGCCGTCAAGGAGTCGAGCGAGAAGGACCGAGGCAGGGACAAAGCACGAAAGAGGCGCAGCGCATCCAGTGCCAGCAGCAGCACCAGGTGGGCCGGGCTGGCCTCTGGCCCTCTGGGAGACAGGCTCAGCTGTTTGTTCTGTGCAGTTGATTCAGCACCCTGGTTGCTTGCTCTAGCCTTGAACCTGTGTGCCTTCGTCCTCATTTGATCCCACCCAAGTCCCTCAGCACCCACCTTCTTCAACTGGGCTGGTGGCGCTGAAGCTGCCAGTTCGTCCTGAGCCTTTGCTCAGGCAAGGAATGCCTTAAGGGGCAGAGTTGGGCGTGTCTCCCCTTCCTCGCCCACTGTGGAAAGAGACTCTCTTTCCGGGAGGTGTGCCAGGGAGGGATGCAGATCCCAGAGGACCCCCGTGACCCCCTCCACTTCCCCCAGGTCTCGCTCTAGCTCCACCTCTAGCTCCGGCTCCACCTCCAGCTCCGGCTCCAGCAGCGGCTCCAGCTCCTCGTCAGCGTCTAGCCGCTCGGGCAGCTCCAGCACATCCCGTAGCTCCAGCTCCAGCAGCTCCTCGGGCTCTCCAAGCCCCTCTCGGCGCAGACACGACAATCGGCGCCGCTCCCGCTCCAAGTGAGTTGTAGGGAGCACTCGTCCCAAAGCTGCCTTTCAGCAGTTAGTGTCCCCGCTGGAAAGGGATATCGGGACCTTCTTGCTTGATGAAAACAAACTCTTTCTGGGTCTTCCCTGCCCATTAGATCCAAACCACCCAAAAGAGATGAAAAGGAGCGGAAGAGGCGGAGTCCTTCCCCCAAACCCACCAAAGTGCACATTGGGCGACTCACCAGGAACGTAACCAAGGTGAGAAGCCACGTACCCATTGTACCCATTGCACAGGCGATGCGGGTCCAGTCTGCGGCCTCGGCTTCCCACAGGGAGAACTGAGCATGTCCTCCTGCCATGAAGTCCACTCAGACTCAACATCCTTTGTGTCTGGAAGGTAGTAGTAGTGCTCCAGCAGCATTTGCCCTGCCTCTCTCCCTCCAGGACCACATCATGGAGATCTTCTCCACCTATGGGAAGATTAAAATGATTGACATGCCTGTGGAGAGGATGCACCCCCACCTGTCCAAAGGTTACGCCTACGTGGAGTTTGAGAATCCTGACGAGGCTGAGAAGGCGCTCAAACACATGGATGGAGGTGAGAGACCCTGAGAGCCATTTTCAACCCAGCTGCCTGTCACACCACCCTGAGCTCTCAGCATTCGAACTCTTACACTCAGTGGGTGACTGTTTACCCACAACAGGTCTCAGAACGCATTCTTCTTGGGAGAAAATCTAATAGAAAGTATTAGCAATTACAATTGTTTTGAGTCTGTTACAGCTTAAAGATCAAGTGAGAATTTTATAATCTATTTTTAGGAATATAATAAATGAAAGATTTGACTTTTTATGCTGGAATATTTTCTTTAATCCTTCTGAGTCATAAATTATTTGTAAACATTTCAGCTTTTTGGGGGTGGTTATCTATTGTGAACTGAGGGTCCTGGTGTGGTGCTGTAGGATACACACTAGACTGCTAACCACAAAGTCAGCAGCTCAGACCCACCAGCCGCTCTTCAGGACCCCTACACAAGGTTATTATGAGTCAGAACCAACTCATGGGTGCTTAACCACACTCAGAATAAAGCGAAGGTTTACAGAGCATAGACTCGGTTTTATAGTCAACAGTTCATACACATGTTGCTTCTTCTGATTGATCGCTTATCCCACTTTGACACTCGAACACGTCACCCAGAAGTAGGCGCAGAGAGCAGGTAGGACCTTCCTGAAAGGTGACAAGAAAATCATACCTGTTGTTTGTAGTTGGTGCCATGACACGCCTGGTTCATTGGACAGGGCATTGTGCAGGGCCACCTTAGGCCGAGTGTCCCTAAGTTCAGACTTGATCACATGCCTGGCTTCTCCTGCAGCAGACTCTATGCCTGGCCTCTGCTCAGTGCTCTAGACACAGGCTGCCTGTGGTGGGGGCCCTTCCTACCTGGCTGCACCCTGCAGTAGGAGGCTTCCGTTGGCTACAATCTGGCTCTTTCTCCACAGGGCAAATCGACGGCCAGGAGATCACTGCCACAGCTGTGCTGGCGCCCTGGCCAAGACCACCTCCCCGGCGATTCAGCCCTCCCAGGAGGATGCTGCCACCACCCCCCATGTGGCGCCGGTCACCCCCACGGATGAGGAGACGGTAGGTCGGTTCTTGAACCCCTGAGGGGCCAGCGGGAGTGTGCTGAGGTCAGCTTCCCACTCTGATGCTGCCCAGAGCTCCTGGAGAAAGCAGCCTCCTCAACTCTAGCTCTGTTCCCTTTGGGAAAGGGGGGAGGGCAGTTACCAGAGCTGATGGCAGAAGATGGGGTCCTATCTGTGTGGTACTTCCAGGAGACTTCCTGATCCTCTGCTGCCTGCTAGGGTGGATGTTGGGTGGCAGAGGCCAGCGCTAGGGAAGTCGTCTGAGGTGGGACCCTCAAACATCTGTAAGCAGCAACACTGGGGTCTGGTACTAGGTGTTTTCTCTCTCGTGTCTGACTCAACATCACTCCCCACAGGTCTCGCTCTCCAAGACGCAGGTCCCCTGTGCGCAGGCGTTCCCGGTCCCCTGGTCGCCGTCGGCACCGGAGCCGTTCTAGCTCCAACTCCTCCCGATAAAAGCCGGCTGCAGAGCCCCCCGGGTCCCTGTAACTTATGTCCCATTCAAGCATGTTCTGTCACTTCTAGCCGGAAGGAGGGTGGATAGGAGAGGGATTCCTGGACTGGGGGGCCGGCTTCTGAGCCTGACTGCAGATGTGCTAGTGGGCCAGGGCTGGACCTGTGAGGCTGCGAGGGTTTCCGAGAGAGCTGGTTCTACAGCCGCACCGGCAGGAAGACAGCAAGCACGGCCTGGGAGCCTTCGTGAATGGGTGTTCCCATGCCACCACGTGTCATATCAGACTTGTTCCTGGGTCCCCCAGGCCTCCCAGCAGAGCCCTCTCCCCGTTCGCTGTGGGTGGCGCCTTCCTCTGTGTGCTCAGGCCGTACACCCTCGAAACCCCAGTGAACATGCTGAGAGCTGGCGCCAGGGGACATACAAGCCCTCTGCCCGTCCCCCTCCCCACTGTGGTCTTTTCAGGTTAAACCGGCACCATGTACATTGCTCTTCTGACTAAAGTTGTACAGTCAGGATTATAAAATTTGTTTTGAGTTTTTGTAACTTTGTAGCATTTTAGATGACGTTGTGTTTGTACCTTGTGTAGAATGGAAGCATTGTATTGAATAAACCTAGGATTAGAATGCAGCCCTGTGGTTTCATCTCCTTTTCGCTTTTACAGCCTCGGGGAGGAGGGACATAAATGAGTGTTTCTAGCACCTGCCTAATTTCCAGTCTAGGCTCTGGAAGCTCAAGCAGGAATGTGGGTGGTCTAGACTGCCTTGCACTGGATCCTGGTGGGTGGACACATCTGTAAGGTTGAGTTTCTTAGGACCTTTAGTCCCAGAAGCCTAAAACCCTGCCTGACTGGAAACTGGGTCATTTGCTGTGGAGAATTGGGAACGCTGAAGGCCATGAGGAACAAGTTCAGCTTGGCCACAGTGTACATGGGTTCCTGCCATTTAATCTAATCATGTGCGCATAACCAGTCCCCAAAACTTAGTATCCCAAGGTCCTGCTTTCCTGCTGTTTGATCCCCGGGGGACCGGGGCAGGGGGTGGGGAGCAGACGTCTACAAATACACTTAAACTCCAGGCCCCAGTGGGTATAGTTGACCCTGGCTTTACGCAGCTGCTGGGCCACCGCGAGCTGCAACAACTTCCGGGCCCAGCGCCTGGAATGTTTCCTCCGGCTCCGGCTCCGCCCACAAGGTTCTGGGGCGGGGCTGGCCTAGCCAGAGACCCCGCGTAGGCTAAAATGGCGCTGGTGGCCCGAGCGCGTTCGCTGCTCCTTCCCGGTAAGTGGCTGTGGGCAGCGCGGGGTCAGTGAGGTCTGGGACCAGCGGTGGGAGGGGGACACTGGAGCGGTACGCCTGGGTCAGCAATGGGGATTTCCGGCCTAGCGTGGACAGGAAACACGAGTGGGATGCTTGATCTGGGGCTGGGGTCAGCGGGCGGGAGCCAGGGCTAACGGGACGTGTCCGCCCGCAGGGGCCCGGTTTCGCGGAGCGGTGCTCGGCGGGACAGCCACATGGCGCGCCATGAGCCACCGGGTGCTGGTGGAGGCGGACCCAGCGACAGGTAAGGGCCCTGGGGTTCAGAGCCTGGTTTGAGGCGATGCTGGTAGGTGACCTGGCGGCTGAAAGTCCCCGGCACCAGTGTCCTTTCTGTTCTCTCCGGAGGGGATAAAGGTAATTCCGCTGCCCACACGGCCTGCCTCTTCACCTCAGTGCTGACCTTCATGGTTAGCACTAGGCCGTCTGACAGCTGATTGTCAGTAACAGTTCACCAGCTCTGTCGTCTTGGTCTGTCTTAGACTGTAAGCTCATAGAAACCTGCCCGCTTTGTGTAACCTTGACAGTATAGGACATACTGGTGACGGGCTTGTTATTAAGTGTTGTTCAGTTCGTTGTGGCTGATAGCAACCCTCTCTAGGGTTTCCAAGGAGCGGCTGTTGGGTTTGAACTGTCAGCCTTGTGGTCAGCAGTAGCTTGGTGGGCAGATGTTGTCCAGTTGGCTCTAACTTGCAGTGACCCTTCATAGGGTTTCTAAGGCTGTAAATCTCTTTAGGAGCAGAAAACCTCAAACCTCGTCTTCACCTGTGGCACGGCTGGTAGATTCGAACTGCTGACCTTGTGGTTAACAGTGTAATTCGTAACTAGGGTATCAGGGCTCTGGCAGCGGCGTAGTGCAGTACAAAGTAGAGTTTGGGATCAGAAAGCAGGACCTAGTCTTATTCCTGGGAGCACAAGTGGCACTGTAGGGAAAATCAGTTCAAACTCACAAGGGGAGAGATGAGGCTTTCTGCTCCGGTAAAGATTTACAGCCTCGGAAACCGTACACAGAGTTCCTGTGAGTCAGAATCAAGTCCACGGCGCTGAACAGTCTTGTCCCTTTAAAACGTGAAGACTGTTGTGCATTTGGTTCTGACTCCTGATGATCCCATGTGCCGAGTAGAACCAGTCCCAAGTTATATATAAATTAGAAGTACAGTTAGCATCGAGAGGCTGGGAGGAGAGCAGTCAAAAAAACACCTTAACATGCTTTTACTAAAATGCTGCCCTTAAACTGAATTTAGAGTCAGCTCGATCCTCTATTGAAGAAGCATCTATTTAGTGCCCACTGTGTGTAGAGACTTGTCTGTGCATCTCCTGGTATTCATGTTGATCCCGGTGCCTTTGAGCAGACTCATGTTGAATCCTAGCCTCTTTACCTTTACCCCAGTAATTTCTGGACTCCAGCCCTATGAAGCATTTTAAAAAAACACTCACTACCAGCTCTGGTAGCGTAGTGGTTACGAATCGGGCTGCGAACCTTAAGGTCAGCGGTTCGAAACTACCAGCTGCTCCGCGGAAGAAAGATGAGGCTTTCTACTCCCGTAAAGATTTACACCCTCGGAAACCCTGTACAGGGTCACTATGGGTCGGAACCGACTCGACGGTACTTAACAACAACAACAACAACAACCATCGAATTGATTCCAACTCATATCAACCTTGCAGGACTAGTAGAATTGCCCCATCTGGTTTCTAAGACTGTAACTCTCTCCCATGGAGCAACTTGTAGGTTCAAACCACCGACCTTTTGCTTAACAGCCAAGTGCTTAACCACTGTGCCACCAGGGGTTCTCAAGAAAGGAATCGTGTCCACCCAAGTTCAGTCTGCACGTCCAGAATATCCCCTCTGAACGGAGTTAGAAGATCTCCGGATCTAATAATGTACCAAGCTCATTACCATTGAGTCCATTCTGACTCCCAGTGACCCTGTAGCAGGTTTTCCTAGACGGAAGATCTTACAAGAGGGAGCATACAGGTGGTTTTGAACTGCTGACCTGACCTTGTGGTTAAACCCAAAGCTTAGCCTGCAGTGCACTTAGGCCTAATAATGACTTCTTCCTTACAAGACAGTTTTCAAAGGAATCCACATGCCAGGAGAATCCATTCTCATTCCCAGGGAGTGGTCAGTGTTGACCATCCAAGGACATTGAGGTCACCAGGAAAATGCTCCTTGTCCAAGACAGCATGTTTCTAATGTCATTGGCATCTGCCCGTGGGACAGAAGGCCTGAAGAGGAGCCAGCAACTGCTGTATCTCTGAGCTGGCACTAGGCTTCCTGTTTCACAGCCTCCCAATACCAGGCTCTGTGCTGGCCACATGGGGGCGCCCTCTGCTGCTGACAAGATGCATGATGACACCACCCACCCCCAGAGGCGCTTGTAAGAACATCTGGCCCCAGTATTTGCTTTTTTAGAAAAGAAATCTCATCCTATTATTTTACTTTACTGTGGTTTGGGGAAGTTTCTCGAACAAATTAGTTTTCCATTCAACAGTTGATATGCGTTTTGTTTTGGGCCGTTCATGTAACCCTCACAGCGCTCTTCCCACCTCTTCCCTGTTCCCATCTCCCTTCACCCTTCTTTCCTGCCTCTTCCTGTCTTCATGCTTAGTTTTGGGGAAATGCTGCCTTTTGGTCCCAAATGGATGATTCTTCAGGGCAGCACGTGTCTCACATGTGACCCTGCTCATTGACAGGGTTGTCTCGTGGTTGACCCAGGTGGTCCATCCTCAGGAGTAGGTTTACTCCAGGTTTGAAGGGTGTGTTTGGGTTCCCGCAGCCTCATTGAAATCAGCAAGTCTGGTCTTTTTGATGCTTGTGAATTTCATTCTGTCTAGGATCTCCTGTGTTCCCAATCAGAATGGTCGACAGTGGTGGTCCGGCACTATGGAGTTCTGGTCTCAGGCTAGTGGACACTGAGTTCACGTGTCCGGTAACCCTTTGGACTCATTGTTTCCTTGTACCTTTGGTTGTCTTCATTTTTCTTTTTTCCAGACAGGGAGGGACCAACAGTTGTGTGTTAGCTGGCCAGCCACTCACTGGCTTTTAGATCCCAGTCACCAGAAAGGGAGGGACAGCATTGGCTTTGTGGTCTATGTAGTACCAACTGACCTAGTGGCCTCTTAGGTTGGCTAATATTTTGTAACCTCTGCCCTTAAAGAGAAGCGGCCCTGGAGTTGCTGTAGGAGAAGCACTGCATTGCTAGCCAGAAAGTTGGCAGTTCAAACCTACCAGCCGCTCCACGGGAGAAAGATGAGCGACTTCCTGTGCCTATAATAATATAGGGTCTCAGTGGGGTTTCATCCTTACACAAGAGTCCTGGGTATTTAACACACTCGTCAACTGAAAGTTCAAGTCCACTCAGAGGTATCTTAGAAGAAAGCCCTACTGATTGATGTCTAAGAAAATCAGCCGCTGGAAACCCCATGGGGCCCACAGTTCTCCTCTGGCCGTGGGGTCGTCATGAATCTGAACCCACTGAACAGCAGCTGCTTTGTGCTATGATCCTGAAACAAGCGTGCACTGGAGCACCCCAAGTTACCCCGTTGCATACCTGGCCCCTAGATGTTTGCCAAAGCGCAAGTTGTAAACTTGGGCTCACTAGAACAGAACCCCTTTTAGTGTGTTCCTTCTAACCGTAACCCAGACCCACTGTCATCTCCAGCGTAGGACACCAGGATATTGGCTCCACCATGAATGAAAAGGAGAAGGAAGTTCGGGGTCAGACTCCCACGGGGAGGAGCCTGGAGAACCAGATGCCAAGTGACACACGTCAGAGACAGAAGGACGTCCTCCCATGAAATACTCAGAATCAGTCAATCCAGAGAGCAAAAGCAGCTTGGTGGGGTGCCAGAAGCTAGGAGAGGGGGAACAGGAATGGGTAGGGGCCTCCTTCCGGGTGATAACTATGGTAGAACATAAACCACACTGTACGTGCACTGAAGGCCATTGAATCACTGTTTTTGGTGATTTCAGTGAAGGCATTTTGCATCAGCAGTTCCTCCAGTGTGTTTTGTGACAGATTACAGTCCTCACAGTGCCCTTCCCACTTCCTCCCCATTCCGGTCTCCATTCGTCCTTCCCCCTGCCCCTGAACTCTTTCCCCTGGGAGCCTGCTGCCCTGTGGATGTGGTGTGGCTGCTTGTCGTAAGGCCTGTACCTCCGTGGACCATTGTCCATCTTGTCAGTCTGTGTTTGGCTGACAGTTGAGCCACGAGGTGAGTTCAGTTCTAGGCCTGGAGGGCAGCTAAGGGCCTCAGTCTCAGGGGCTCTGCCAGGCTATCCTACCGAGAAGCCGGGCACTGAGTCCTTCACCTGGAAATGTTCATAAGAACTTCACCTCAGTTTTAAGAGAAAGCCCATTGCTGGCCTCTCCCTCACAGCTTGTGTTGCCATCTAGACGTGACCTCTCTTTGCTTTCGCTTTCCAATCAGGGATCGCTGTGATGAAACTCAAGAATCCGCCTGTGAACAGCCTTAGCCTGGAGATGCTGACGGAGTTGGTCATCAACCTGGAGAAGCTGGAGAATGACAAGGCAGTCCGCGGCCTCGTGCTCACCTCGGTGTGAACCCCTTCCTCTGCCAGGGTCCGCACAGGTGGATGGTCCGGCGCCCCTCAGACTGTTCCCTGAGTCCATGTGCTGGCCCTGAACACACAGCTGGTCCTGGTCTCCCCCCACCAGCCCCTCTTCCATCCCAGCATGCCCCACTAGGTATCCATGTCGGGGCTTCTGTAAACCCTGCTCTGGGCTGTGCTCACAGATGTGGATGACACATGTCCTGTGGTTTGCCTGGCCCCTTGGAGTTAACCCATGCCCTCCTCACCCGCTAGGAGTACCCCGGCATCTTTTCGGCCGGCCTGGATCTGATGGAGATGTGCGGGCGCAACCCTGCCCACTACGCCGAATACTGGAAGGCCTTGCAGGAGTTCTGGCTGAAGCTCTACCAGTCCAGCTTGGTGGTGGTGGCTGCCATCAACGTAAGTGTCCAGAAGAGACCCTCCCGATGGAAGTAACAGGCGAATATGGGGCTGGGGAGAAGGGGACAAGGCTGGCTGGACAGGAGAAGTCCACATTTTGGAAACATCCTTGGGGTAGGCCCAGGGTCTCCAGTGAGCTTCAAGGCTGGAGTTACCTCCAGAGGGTGCAAGGACATATGGGAGGAGAGGGCAGAGGTTATAAGGAGTCAGGGAGACTCGGGACAGGGGTCTAAAGACACACAGCTGTGCACACCAATTTCCAACCTCAACTGGGAGCTAGTGGGTGCAGGAGAGGACAGGTGGCCTCAGGGTAGCAGGACCTCCGGAAGGTCTGGCCATGTGGGTCAGGACATGAAATGCTTCCTTTGAACCAACGCTACACTCTACTAGATTAGGGGTCTTGGTTCCCCAGAGCTGCATTCACAGAAATGCATTCTCTTAGAGTTCAGGAGACTAGAAGACCAATCTATAGGGGAGGCTTGCTCAGTCAGCTCGAGAGGAAAGTCCTGGTCTCCTTTCAACCTCTGTGGGCCAAGTGTCCCAGTTCTAGGAGGGTCTCGCTGCAGGGACCCTGCATCTAAGCACACACTTGGCTTTCTTGGTGGTAGGAGGTCTGTGTCTCCCTCTGCGTTCTTCTCGCTCTCCTTTTCTCTCTTAGAAGATAGTGGGAAACTCCGCTTCTGTAAGATCAGGGTTGTGTTCTGAGTGAGGATGCCGCATCCCTGCCCTGATCCCCTTACAGCTGATTGGCTGAGACCCCGTGATAGAGGATGCTTACATCATTGCCTAACTGTCAAACCACTTAGAGTTGTGGCCCAGTCTTAATCGGCACAGATGTCGGATGGGAGTAAGTCAGTCCATGACAAGGTTACAAGAAGCGTAGTGTACCGGCTCTGTGACTGGGAGCCGCTGGCAGCCTTGCACCCCCAGCCCCAGACAGTGTTTCATCCTGCAGGGAGCCAGCCCTGCGGGAGGCTGTCTCATGTCCCTAATCTGTGACTACCGCATCCTGGCTGACAACCCCAAGTACACCATTGGGCTCAATGAGACTCTGCTGGGCATTGTTGCCCCTTTCTGGTAAGAGCCGGGCCGCTGGGACCTCAGGCTTGTCCCTGGGCGACCAACGCTGCCCGGGGTCCCAAGGCAAGTGGTATCTGTCTTGCAGGTTCAAGGACACAATGGTGAACACGATTGGGCACCGCGCCTCTGAGCGTGCCCTGCAGCTGGGGTTACTCTTCCCACCTGCTGAGGCCCTCCAGGTGGGCCTAGTGGACCAGGTGGTGCCCGAGGACAAGCTGCAGAGCACTGCCCTGTCGGTCATGGCCCAGTGGCTGGCCATCCCAGGTGAGATGCGGGAGTCCTCCCAGAAAGTTCTCTGAATGGACAGAACTGCACATAATCACTGTTAACAGCTGAGGAATCCGTGGGTGGCACAAAGTTAAACTTCTGACTACGAACCAAAAGATTGGAGGTTCAAGCCAACCCATGGGTACCCTGGAAGAAAGGCAGGTAACCTGCTGCTGAAAACCCTGTGGAGCAGTTCTACTCTGACCCACGTGGGGTCACCAGGAGTGGCAGTCAACTCAGTGTCAAATGGTTGGAAACTGTGGTGGTCCGGGATACAACTCTCCCCTTCCATAAGGAAGACTTGGGTTCTATTCCTGGCTGATGCGCCTCAAGAAGCGGGTTTTCACTCACCCCTTGTCTGCAGACCATGCTCGGCAGCTGACCAAGACAATGATGCGGAAGCCCACTGTGGACCACCTAGTGAAGCAGAGAGACGCTGATATCCAGAATTTTGTCAGCTTCGTCTCCCGAGACTCCATCCAGAAGTCTCTGCAGATGTACTTACAGAAGCTCAGACAGAAGAAGAGCTGAGGGTGCCGCGGCCCAGCGGTCTCACTGGAGCGCCCCTCCTCGCAGCCTGTGGCTCCTGGGGACGTGAAACAAGCCATTTTTCTGGGCATACGAAATTTGGGTTTGTTTTACCAATCCCCCTGGAGGGTCCTGGTCTCTTAGCCCAGTGTGCTGGGACCCTACCTCCATTCCCACAAGTGCCTTATCTGCTTGGCTGAGTGGTGAAGTGTGCTGACACCCCACCCTGGGACCCTGAGTGCTCTCCCCCAACGCCAAAGTAAAATTGTGAATAAAGTCCTCAGGTTACTCCCTTCCCAGTCTCTGAGCTGCCTGTTGCTGGGATGGGAGGCCAGGGGGCTTGAGCTACATGGGACTCCTCTCCGCTCCCCGACCCCACACCTCCTATTACCATGTTTGTTCACTTAGAGGGTGTTTGTATGTATGTAGAGGGGACACTAAGCCTCTCCCACTGGGAGAGTTTCTGTGCCAAATGTCCAAGGTCTTGTTTTATGAAGTCTTCCCCCAAAAAAAGAACTTGTCCAAACCCTTGAAGGAAATGTTTCTCCCCCAGTACGGCTCAAGCCAAAGCCCATACATATCCTGTCTCTAAAACAGTCCTTAGAGACCAGATGGTTCAAAAACTAGGAACAACATGCATTACTCCCATCTGGAGCTGGGGTCCTCCAGAGGAGAACAATATGGAAAGGGCCTGGACGAGACCTGCCTGCTGGGACTGAGAGGGAAGTCCAAGCCCTTTGACCCACAAAATGCCCAAACTCGTGGCCACTGAGTCCTTTCCAACTCGCAGCAACCTTGGAGGACAGAGCAGGGCTGCCCCAGAGGGTTCTGAGACGAACGTTTGGGGAAGAAGCTACCACACCTCTCTCCCATAGGACAGCTGGTGGATTCGAACTGCTGACCTTCTTGCTTTGACCCCTGCACTAGCAGGACAGCCTCCCTGGTTTCCCCCCTCAGTGCTGGACAGGACAGGTACCTGAAATGTTCCCCATGACTGCACTGAGGCGCCCACATACACAGAACAAGCCCACCTCAGAGATGATGGTTTCAGACCACCACAGTAAAATGAGTCTTGCTTATCTCTTTTTCAGTTTCCAGTCAGAACTGACTCTACGGCACTTAACAACAACTTAACAATGCATACAAGGGGGCTTTGAGAAGTTTGAGGAAATGGAATGAAAAGATGATGGGATTTTCCCCTTGCATCAAAGTTCTGCTGCTATTAGCCTGTAGTCTGTGAAATGTGCAAGAGCATCATGGGAAAGTTTGAAATGCTGTGAGAATCTCCAAAATGTAACAGACACACAGTGAGCACAGGTTGATGGGAAAACTGCACCAATACACAGACCTTCAAGTTGTCAAAACCGCAGAGACTGCATACAGGAAAGCAAACTACAATAAAATGAAGGGGTCTGACTGAGCAGGGTCTCCGTGTAAGAAAAGGACCCGGATCATTCCCAGACAGGCTGCCTTCTGATGCCCGTGGGGAAAATAGGCAGACCAAGCCATCCCTGTGCCCAAGCCCAGAAGGGTTGAGTCCTCACAGGACACATAGAAGCAGAAGTGACCCGTTAGCATCTCACTAAGCGCAGCATGTTTATTGGGCACTCACTGAGCCACGTGGACCCCTCACAAAAGTCCGAGGAAACCAAGGCTCCAAGCACACGTCCATGGCCGCTTGTCCAGGTGGCTGAAGTGTGGGTTGAAGCCTGCCCTGCAGCTTCCGTGGGAGGTGGCGGCCACCCTGAAAGAGGCACCAGTGCGCTGTCCCAGGTAGTGATGTCTGCATTCCTCTGGTTGGCCAGCCGAGACTGTCAGTGGGACTTAAGAGTCACCTCCACAGGGAAGTGGTCACTGATGGCCAGAGCCTGGATGGGGAGGAGGCAGGGTTGGGAACACCTCCGGGGCCTGGTGGTGTTCAAAATGCACCCCCACCCCTGCGTTTCACAGAAGGGTCTTTTGATCAAGCAGGCTACTGGTGGACCCCCTCCTTGTTGGTGGGGCTGAAAGAGGGGGCCCCCCCATATCGGGGAGACGCAGAGACCTCCACAGTCCAGAAGCCACCTTCCCAGAATGTCAGGACAGTACCCGAGGGTCATTTTCTGCAAACCCCAAAGAAGGCTAGCCAAGCACATCAAGGGTGCAGGAAGCCTCAGGAGTCCGCTGTGCCCTCCCCAACACCTGCCTGCGCTTGGTCCAGGCCAAACTCCTTCTGGAAATCATGCACGGCTGCCGACTGCGGCTTCAGGCTTCGGCGCAGGCGCGCTCCGCAGGCCACGATGCGGTCGTAGGCGCAGTCCGAGTTGCCCACCGTGGTGTCAGCGCTGTCAGGGATGAGCCACTTGAAGACCTCACTGCTGCGAAGCCGGATGGCAGTCCAGTCCTGCGCCCGCACGTAGTTGCAGTCGGCGTTGAAGTCCCCCAGAAACAGGATGTCCTGCGGGGCGCAAGCCGGTCAAAGTCGCCCGTGGGGCCTCGAAATCCAGTACCTCCACTGCCCACACTCTCGTGAGGTCCCCGTCCGGTACCCCAGATGGGCCAGGGTGGGGTGGAGGCTTACATCAGTGCCCCACTTGTCAATCACATCCAGGTATACGTCGTATAGAGCATCGATCTCTGTAACCGCCTGGTGCGGTGCTGCATGCAGCGGGACCAGCACAAACTCCCCGGCTGCTGCGGGAGCAGGGGGTGTTGATAGTCAGAGACACCGGCAGGCAGGAAGGGAGGGAAGGGGAGGGAAGAGGTTCTGCAGAGGATGGGGCGGGCGGGGCCTGCGGAGAGGGCAGGAGCTTGAGGGATGGGGCGGGACCGGCCTCACCAGCGCTAGGGGCGGAGAATTTGACGATGAAAGGCTCACGGCTGAAGGCGTCCTCCGGGTCCGAATAGTGATAGGTATCTAAGATAGAGACGGCACCCTCCCTGGAGGCAGAGGATGGTGGGCGAGCTGGGGCGGCCCCATTCGTCCCTACGTGCTACCTCTCCGCAGCCCCGCCTCTCACCTGTACACAAACAGGTACATTTCCTTGTACTGGTCCCGACCCAGGGGCTCGCTGCTCACAAAACTGTATTTGTGCTTGGACACGCTGCGGAGACACGGGCCAGGCCCGGGGTCAAGACACCATGCCGACGCCTAGGGTCCGGAGGCGGGGTGGGAGTGAGGTCATGCCACGGGCCTGCCCACCACACCTGTTGATCTGCTTCATGAGCTCCGAAACAGCGCTCAGGTCTGGATCTCGAACCTCCTGCACCAGGGTGATGTCATAGCCAGCCAGGATCTAGGAGAGGAGCCGGCAAGGTCAGGTCACTGGTTCATCTAGAGGACCCACCTCCCCAAGGGTCCATTATGGGTCGTCCCTGGTCCCCAGCCTTACCTTTGCAATAATGCTGCCACAGGCCGGGTCTGACACTTTGCTGTCTCCAAAGCTCTGTATATTGAAGGCTCCGATGCGCAGAGCCGCAACCCCAGTGGCCACCAGTGCCCAGAGCGCAGCCAGCAGGACCCAGGGCCCGCCCATGGCACAGAGCAGGTAGGCTGGAAGGAGCAGACCAGCCCAATGAATACGACACCCAGGCCCATACTCTGGTCCCACAGGGAGGATGCCGCCCCAATGTTGGCCTGTCAGAGACACGTCCTCCACCCATGATGATTCGATGTCCTCCCAGTCCTCAGGGAAACTGAGTTTCTAACAGAGGGACTTCTGTTCCTCCCAGTCTCTCCCTCCCTTCTCCCCTCCAGCCTGACATTACCTGGGTGTAGTAGGAATTGTGCCAAAGGCTGGAAGTCCGGAAGCCACTAGGGGTCTGTGATCCAGCTTGATGGTGAGTCCCTGAGAATGGATGAACCTTGTTGCTCTAGTCCAACACTAGCTCTGGTGTGAGTCCTGGTGGCTGTTTTATGCCCTGTCCCAGGGAGGGGCCCACTGCAGTGGGTCCCACCCCCTTAGAGCTGGGCGCCAGAGCTCCAGATTCCCATTTTCATGGAGACCCTGAGGGCAGGGAGTCAAGGGACCTGAATGAGGCTGTCCTGAGAATCGGAAGCAGACGCCACCGTCAACCCCCAAGGCGGGGTCAGGACTCAGGTTGCTGGGTCAGGCACGCCTACTATCCAGGCCTGGCCTGGTCCCTACTACCCAGAAACTAGGTCATCTAGAATCTGCCTCTTGGGGCAGCAGTTCTCTAAGGGTACACTATAGCCCCTCCTTCTAGATGCTTCTCCTACAGTCCTAGCCTTGGGCCACCGATGCGGAGCACCCTCCACAGCTCAGAGCTCACTCTGGGTGTCCGGGTGCCCTGCCCCACCACAGGCTGGGACTAAGTCTGGGGAGCAGCACCCCTTGTACTTGCTTAGGAGTCTTGGGAACCTCAGCAGGGCAAAGGCAGGCAGGAGGCTGCCTGTCAGCATGCCAGCACACCCACGCGCCACAACCAGCCCCACGGAGCCCTGGGAGGAGTCCTGCACGGGAGGTTACAGGCTGGCTCTGGGTGGGCCGGTGTGGCCAGAAACCTGTGAGGGCAGGGCCAAGTGCCTAGACGGAACAAGCTGTTGGTTTTTCATATTTTATTGTAAAGCAACAAAAACATCCTATGTACACTCCCACATCCCACAGACACCCTGATGTTGTGCCGTCTCCTCTGTACTCAAGTCCCAGCCACTGGGCTACACAATCACCGTCTGGACCTCGATCTGGCCCTCTGGTGATGAGATGACCAGTTCGCCCGCGTGGCCCAGGATCTCGATGTCCTCCGATGACACCATGGTCACAGTGGCCTGCTCGGCACCACTGGTACCCGAACGCGCTGTGAGCACAGTGCCTTCGCTGATGGCCGAGGCCAGCGTCATGGCCACCTGCTCAGTCAGGCTCTCGGGGGTGGCAATAGTGATGGTGTCGGCGGTGGCCTCGGGGCCCAGTGTGGCCTGCTGGTCCACTGTCATGTTCTGCACAATAATCTGGTGCCCAGCACCTGCCTGGTGCACGATCTGCCGCACCACCTTCATGATGTGGCTGTCCACCTGTGGACACAGGGTGTGGAACACAGGAATGGGCATTCAGCTCAGGCCGTGCTGGGGGAGTGAGCGCCCCTCCCTGCCCTCCACCTGCCCTGCACCTCAGTCTGGGTGCCCTCGATGACCTCTGTGGCCTCGCTGGTCTCTGCATCATCTGCGGTGGCCTTGGCAGAGGGACAGAGGGCAGAGTGGCAGAGGTCAGTGCTGGCTGTACCTGGGGACTACCCAGCTCTGGCCCAGTCCACCTGCCCCACCCCCACCTCAATGATGTACTCCTGGGTGTCTGCCACCATGGACGAAAACTCCACCAGCACGGTGTGAGGGTCCTCGGCCAGGACGGTGGCAGCGGCTGCAGGGCTCTCCTCCGGCACGAGCATCTCCTCCACCTCCAGTAGGCAGCCCCCTGATGGTGGGGATGACAGTCAGAACCCAGGGAGCTCTGGGATGCCCCTTCCCAGCAGCCCCACCCCCGATGCAGACCTTTGGTGCGCAGGTGCCGGTTGAGCGTGCCGTGCTCAGCAAAGCCGCGTCCGCACCGGTAGCACTTGAAGGGCTTCTCGCCCGTGTGGTGCCGCACGTGCCGCACGAGCGAGCCCTTCTCCCGGAAGCCACGGCTGCAGAATTGGCACACGTGGGGCTTCTCCTCCAGGTGCGTCCGGAAGTGCACTTGCTGGGCATTCTGTGGAAAGCAGTAGTCGGTGCCAGCTAGCCAACCCAGCTTTCTCTGCCCACGCATGACGAGTGCAGTGTGGGGCAGCCCAGGACAAAGGCTGGACATGGGAGAGAACCTGGGGGGTGCGGGTGGGGACAAGGCCGGGAGACAAGCGCCAGAGCCCACCTTGGTCTTGTAGCGCTTGCCGCACTCGGGGCAGGGGTAGGGCCGCTCGTCCGAGTGCACACGCCGATGGCCGCGGACGTGGGCGATGGTCTTGTAGAGCTTCCCGCAGTCCCCGCAGCGGAAGCGCCGCTCATGCACGTGCACCTCCTGATGCTTCCTGAGCAGGTAGGCCTTCGGGAAGGTCTTTCCGCACTGCGAGCAGGCAAAGGGCCGCGGCCCGGCGTGGCTCCTCCTGTGGGCCTCCAGTGTGGCGGCCGTGGGGAAGGTCTCGCTGCACTGAGGACACGGGTGGGCCCTGGGTGCGCCTGCAGCCTCACTGGCCACCTGCTGGGGGAACACAGGCTCACCTCCACACCACTGTGTAGGCTAGGGAGGAGGGCAGGGTACTCCAATGAGGTGAGCAGGCAAACGGGCACCCTGGGGCACCTCAGTCACCTCAGAGAAGACGCGCAGCAGGGAGCCCCGTGCAGAACACTTACTGTCTCCACTTGCTCCACAGCTAGCAGCGGGAGCTCTGGGGAGCCATCTCCCAAGGCCTGGGGACTGGATTCGGCAGGGGGGGCTGGCTCCAGTGTAGCCCCCTCCTCCTCAGCTACACGCTCAAGGACGATGCCAGAGTTCTGCATGGCTTGGTGTAGCAGGCTCTCCTGGCTGCCCTCCCCAGTACAGGGCAGCTCCTCAGGACTGGGGGGCTGTGGACGAGGCAGGAGGGGCTGACTAGGCAGCCCAGCCCACGGCACACACCCACCCACCGGCCTCACAGAGCACCAGGCCAGGGCTCTGCCCCCACCTTGGGGTCCCGGGCCTTTACCTCTCCCCGCCCACCACACACACACACACACTCCCAGGCTTAGAGCTCTCCCACCTCGGAGTCCAGAGCCTTCATGCCCAGGGGTAGCTTCTGCATCCGTACATGGACTTCGTGGATGACGGTGCCCTTGGCGTCTGTCACCAGGTGAATCACAGGGGACGTCTCTATGGGCTCCTCTGTCACTGATGACGATGCCACCATCCCCACGCTGGCAGCGCCTGACCCTGCAAGGCACAGCCGGGTGAGGTCTTGAGGCCCGAGGTGCCACCCAAGGGAAGGAGAACCGGCTGACCTGCAGGCCCCTCCTCTTTGCAGACAGCCACATCCTTAGCCACGCTGAAGCGGATCTTTTCTGTGCATGGGGTGAGAGACTTGAGGTGGCGGGTCAGCGCCCCCGACTCCCGGAAGCTCTTCCCACACTTGACACACTTGTAGGGGCGCTCATCTGCAGGGAGAGCGGGGTCAGCACCAGCTTTGGTGAGCAGCATCTGGGAGACTGGGAGGCCGGGCCCCAGTGCTCACCAGTGTGGCGCCGGTGGTGCCGAATGAGGGAGCCCTTGGTCCGGAAGGAGGCCCCACACAGTTTGCATTCGTGCTCCTTGCGACTGCTATGGGTGACCATGTGCGCCTTGAGGATGCTGCCCTGTGGGGGAGAGGCAGCGCGGCTCAGGGCAGCTCTGGGGCGAAGGGAGAGCACACCCCACCCCACCCCACGTGGGCCCCCCCAAGCTCACCGTTTTGAAGGTCTTACGGCACAGCACACACACATAGCGGCCCTCCTTGTTCACCAGCAGCTGCACCTGGGTGGGCTCCCCCTCCCCAGTGAGCCCTGGGCCCTCAGCCACCTCACAGTCCCCCGGCTCCGCCTCAGCTGCCACGATCACTTCTTTGATGTGCCCACTATCTGAGGAGAGGTGGTTGCCTTATGTCACTTCCTCCTGATCGTGGGGACCCCCGACTCCCCGCCCCACCATGACCCAGCCAGCACCGAGAAGACTCAAAGCAAATACCCCAAGAGGCAGCAAGGGAACTTCTCACCCCCAGGTCACCTAAGATTGCCCGTCCCCCATCCCTGTCAACTCTTTGTAGCTGCCAGACAGCTTGGGGGCCTCCAGATATATCCAAAGGGGACATCTACCATGAGCACGGATGCCCTGCACCCGAGACCGGAAGGAATATCAGACGCACGGGGACACAGACTGGAACCGTGACCCACTGCCGGCTCCCTTGGGCCCACTCTCAGGTGCTTCCGAGGGTTGGCTGGGCCCCCAGTGAAATTAGCAGTCCTGCCGTACACCTGGGTGAGACTGGCACTCAAAAGCTGGGCTTTGACACTTCTGCCGGGTGTTGGGGAAACATGACAATGTGCCAAGCCGAGCTGTAAACACACTCTCATCGCGGGTGGCTGATGAGAGTGACAGGCGGAAACAGGCTGTGAAGCCGCCTCGCAGAACCTGGCATTTTGTTTTGACAAGCCATCATCTCAAAACACAAGGAAGGTAGTCGACTCAGAATTTTGGGCTCCTCTTGCCTGAGCCCTCCCTGGCATGATGAGGCGACGGGACCAACACCTCTTGCATCTTCACTCCGACTCAGTGATCTCCCACCAAGAAGAGACGCCTCTGACTGACCCTAGCCAGATGGGGCTTGCAGCAGAGTGGACAGCTGTGCCATGGCCAGAGGACACAGTCTGTTTCCAGTGAAGGACAGGCAGTCCTGTAGGCAGTAGCCAACCACCACGGGCATCGGCACATGGTCCCTGCAGGGGACCCTCACCAGCAAGGGAATCCAGTCCCATGCTGCTTCTGCATCATGCCGACTGAGTGCCAGCTACGACTCATGTAGGCCATGCGGGGATGCCCGGGGAGGGGCCTCGCTGGCAGACACCATCTGAACCAAGGGCTTTTTTCCCCCAAGTGACATCCTCTACCCAGAACTTGATGGCAGGCAGGACCAGTGCGCAGCCCCACCTTCCACTTAACAATGTCCAAGTGACAACACATGAATGTCCTCCACCCGCAGGAATGTCAGGAAGGGAACAGACAGGTGTGCAACCGCCTTCCTTCAGTGGCCGCTTTGTGAGACCTGAGGCCCACCTCCCCCAGGTTCCTCCCCGCCCTTCCCCAGGGCTTCCCAAGGTCACATTCTGCCTGTTGCCCAAACCCACTTCCTGCCTAGCGGCCCACTCACCCACCCACCTGGACCCCTGCCCAGTAGGCACTCCTAGGAGCAACCATTTTTTCCCAACTCCCTGCCATGTAGACACCACTCGGAGTTGGCACCTGCCTCAGATTCAGGCCCTGCTCTCGCACCTCCCAGGTCCTGCCTATTGCAATTAAGGAGCACATGACCCCTGCAGAACACCCACTCTACCCAGGCACAATGACGTGGACCTTTAACTTCAGATGAAAAAGCTACCATCAAAGAGCTCTGACATGGCATTACACGCTCGTAAAACCCAGAGAGGTCAGGCAGCCATGACCTCCACAATCAGCCTCAGGCAAGCAGAGCAGGCACGCTCGCTGGGCAGGCTGAGGCCCAGGTCAGGCAGCGAGGCTGGCTAGGTTACACAGGAGGGTGACCCCACTGATACCTGCTGGGTTCACACAGCCTTCCAGAGTCACCTGCTAGGGGCAATGGGGCATGCTAGGCAGAGTCTGGGGGTGAAGCAGAAACTAAGCGGGTAGCAAGGGCCAGGGTAGGATGCACAAACAAGCGGCCAACTCCCAACTACCCATCAAGTGTGGTGCCCATTAGGCCTGGTGGAGGTTACAAGGAGCCGCTGCCCCCAGAAGGCTCACCCCAAGTGCCTGGTCATGCCCCCACTTACCCACTAGGTCAGGGGTATGGCTGAGGTCTGCCGCCAGCGAGGTCGCCTCCACCACGATGTGAGCCAAGGTGATGGGCTCCTCTGGGGTGGGTGCCCGGACCACCTGTGGTGGGGGTGGTACAGAGGGGACTCAGGATCCCTGGGTACCTGGCTACAGGGTCAGCTCCAGCTCCCTCAGGCCCTCGGGAAGCAGCTCTGGGGGAGTCTCATTGCTATTTGGGGTCAGGCTGCCCTCACAGCTCCAGCCTCCACCAGGGGGTCAGAGAAAAGGTGCAGGGCTGGGAGATTCCTGGAGAAGGGGGCACCTCTTGGACGACAGGGGAAGTGTGAAATGACATCTGGGGCAGTCCCATCGGGGGTCTGAGACCACCCACTTCTCTCTGAGGCTCCTCACACACTGTGACTAATGAAGCTGATGGGTGTTCTGCCCGTGGGATGCGTGGCGTTAAACCGATTTGAGCACATTGCCAGGGATCAGCAAAGCTGGTTGTGTATACAGGGTGCAGGACCCTCGGGGTGCACCGGGAAGGAGACAAGCCACCTTACACCCCCAAGCCAGTGGAAGTCCCCAGGCTCAGCTTTATAGGAGACCACGCCAGGTCAAGACAGGCTGCTCGTCTGGGATGCTGCTGGCCTGCCCGCCCACATGTCGGTGGGAAACCAGCTGTACAGGTCTTCCTGGCACAGTGACGCCTCCTGCCTGTCAGATGCACCCTGGGACAGTGCCAGGTGATGGCAGTGGGTGGGACACTCACCTCCTGGCCCAGGAGCTCGGCGGCAGCCGGGGTGGCTGGCAGGGTGTCCTGAGGGACCCGCTGGCAGGCTTTCTGCATCTTGTGCTGGACAAAGTCCTCCAAGGTGGTAAACTCGGCTTGGCAACGACCACATCTGTGCACATCGTCCTCATCTGCAAGGAGCTGCCATCAGTATGGCTCCCAGGGAGAGAGGGCTAGCCAGTCAGACCCCGTCCACTGCCCCGGAAGGACAGCAGAGCCAGAGGCCTCTTTCCTGGCTCTCCCAGAGGTTGCTGAGCGTATATGAGGGGCTAGCAGAGACAGCTCGTGCCCTAGTCTGTGGGGGGCTACTGTGGTCATCAGGCCCAAGGCCCCCACTTCAGAGATGAGGGGAGGGGGAGGGACTGGGGGGGAACCACCCAAACTGGTTAGGAGATGGTAGAAGGTAAGCTGGGGGTGTGAATGCAGGCATTGTGAGCCCTGGGGTCTCAGTCACCATCACATCCTCATCTATAAAATGGGTCCAATGCAGCCCTGTGCTCAAGGGACAATAAGAACTGGTATCCACTGCACTCAGCAAGCACAGAAATGGACCGGAGGGACAGCACCCACTCTTAGTCTGACTTGGCAAAGAGGCCAGGGTGGGAATTTGCAGAGGGTCTCCCCATGCCACAAGATCACCCCACCAGACCTCACCTACCCCAGGGCTTGCCCTGGGTCCTGCGTGAGAGACTGCCTCCAGTGACCACCCTCCGTGTGCCAGGCATCTCAGGAGACCCTCCCCAAACACTGGCAACACCCCAGGGGCAATGAAGATGTTCATTCTCATTCCAGAATAATGACTTAAGATTCCGGGTCCCCCAGCTGGTGTGAATAGGGCTGGAATCCAACCCTGGGACCACCGGCAGACACCTTGCTGTTTGCACAGAGGGTGGGGAAATTCCCTTCCTGCTTCCATAAAAGTGACCAGGTCTAACATCTTCCAGTCACTCCCACACCAAGGTCAAAGCCAGGGCCTAGCACCTGAAAAACCCAGCTGGGGTTTCTTAAAACACTGACTGACTGAGGAGCCACAGCACAGCCACAGAAGGCCACCGAGTAGAGGGCAGTCCCCTCCAGATGGTTCAGAGTCAAAGCCAGCAAGGAGACACCTGCCACCCTTTTATCTTCCCGCTCTGGGTGTTGATGCTGAAAACACCCCCATCCAGGAGGGGCACACCCAGGCCACTTCACACTGAGACAAGGCCACAGGCGTGACTGAGAAAGTACAACTTCCCAAGGGACCCCTCCCCAAGTTGGTTTGTCCACAGTGGTATTGCCCTTCTGCAAGCTGGAATGAGAAGCCATCCCCAGTAACTCCCTTCCGGTCTGTCCAATCTACAGCTGAGAGGTTAGGGAGACCCAGTGCCCTGTGACAGCCTCCACGGCATCCCCAGTACAGTCCTCCACACTCTAATCTAATTCTCACCACCTGTCCCATGATGCAGCAGAACCCAGAAATTAAGGGGAGTGGAGAGTGACCCAGTGCTACGACCCAATCCAGTCCTGGCTCCTCACTAGCTGGGTGGCCTGACGTCATCACTTTCACATCTCTGAACCTCACTTTCCCTCATGGGGATCATAACACCCGCGTCTCGGGGTTGGTTGGAGGATGACAATGAAGAGCTGGATTGCTAATCACAAAATCAAGCAATTCGAATCTACGGCCACTCCGCGGCAAAAAGATGAGTGAGGCTTTCTGCTCCTACAAAGACGTACAGCCTCGCAAACCATATATATACACAGTTGTTAAGAGTCGGAACCACCAACCACCACAACCAAGTCTTTGGTGTATAATTAGCAGCAGTAGCCCCATTTGTTAAAGGGGAACGGAGACTGGGGCAGGTGTAGGATCAGAATTCTAAGTGTCAGGCCGGGGACAGAGCCGCAAGCTGGCTGCGTGCACGGCGTTCCATCGCGGAGCTCTGCTGCCCCCGCTGCGCCGAGTCAGAGGAAACCCGAGACCCCTCCCGCCTGCAGCCCGAAGCCCCACCCTGGGCCCCAGGGTGCAGTGGGAGGGGACCCTGCTCGACACAGGGAGACCGAGGGAGCAGGGCCAGCCGGCGACAGGTGCGGGCTAACAGCGAGCGCACAGACCCTGGGCGCCTGTGAACATCCATGAGCAAACACGGGGGTCGTAGGGGTGACGGGCGCCCCGCGGAAGCGGCTCGTGGGAAGCCCGCGAGGACTCCGGGACTTGAAGGATCTGCCACGCCGGCTACCCAAGCCATCCGGGCCTCCGCGAGCCCAGGCTGAGCCACCCCCGCCCCGGCAGCGCCTGGACTCGTTACCTTCCTCGCTGAAGGGCGCCGGGAGACCGAGGAAGCCGCTGGAGGCCAAGGCCGCCGCCGCCGCGACCCCGCCCCCGCCCGCCTCCCGCCCGGCTTCGGCCTCGGCTTCTGCCGTATGAGCGGCCGTCACCCGCACTGCCATCGCGCCCTCCATGTCGCAACGCGCCGCAGGAAGATGGCGGATTTACGACCGTGTCGTCATAACAACGGGCCGCGCCGCGGCAACGAGGCCAGGCAGCGAGGCGGAGTCTAGTGACGGGTGGGGCCAAAAGCCGCAGAGGCGGGGCCAGGCTCTCAGTGAGACGGGACTGGGCGGGACGTGTTGGTAGGGGCGGGGTTAGGGTGAAGGGGGCTGGCTGCCGGGCGGAGCCTGGAGCTGAAGAGCTGAGGGCTGGGGCGGGCTAGTGGGCAGGACCGAATGAGACGGAATGGCTTTGCGAAGTCTTTATTTTTTATTTAATAATTTATTGCTGTCGAGAATATGCACAGAACATACTCAAATTGAACAGTCTCTACAGGTACAATTTAATGGCATTAATTACATTCTTCAAGTCGTGCATCCTTTCTCACCCTCCTTTTCCTGATTGTTTCTCCTCCGTTAACCTAAACTCACTGCCCCTTGTTTCTTATCTAATGAAAGGCTTCGCAAAATTCGCAAGATTACACAGGAAACAGGGGCAGTGAGTTTAAATTCATGGAGGAACCGACTCTGTCACATAACGTGTTGCAATTTTGTGTGATAAAATGTACCATTAGTTACATTACGTGCATTTTGCAATGTTTTGAATTTCCACAATATTTTCATCATCCCAAAAGGAAATCCTTTACTTTTTAAGCAGTCATTTCCCATTCCTACAAACAGTCAACACCCCCCGCCCCAGATCCTCGTAATCACCAAACTGCTTTTTGCGTCCTCTGGACATTTCCTATTAATAGAACCATGAAACGTGCTCCTTTGTGTCTGCTTTATTTTACTTAGAGGAGCTCTGGTAGTGTAGTGGTTACCAATCGGTCTGCTAACCTCAGGGTCATTTGTTCGAAACTACCAGCTGTTTCGCTGGAGAAAGATGAGGCTTTCTGCTCCTGTAAAGATTTACAGCCTCAGGAACCCTGTACAGGGTCACTATGAGTTGGAACTGACTCCACAGCACATAACAACAACAACAATTTTCTAAGGGCCATTCATGTTATATAGCATCATGCATTATGGTCAATTAATGTTCTCTTGTGTTGGATGGACCACATTGTAATTATTCTTTCATCTGCTGGTGGACCCTTGGATTGTTTCCCCTTTGGGGCTGTTGTGAATAGCGCTGCTAGGAACATTCATGTAAATACATAATTATTTTATTCTTCAAGTAATATTTGATTTGGTACTTTGAAGGTACATGCTTCACAAGATTTCTCATGTAGGATGCTGGTCACCTCCATTTTAAAGAAACAGAGGCACAGAATAGATAGGACACTTATCCAAAGGGCAGAAAGAAAACTAACTCAGGTGTGTCCAGGGCCATGTATGGGTTCCCCAGGCTCAGGTATTCTCAATGGGCCAGCCCTATGCCAGAAGCAGGGGATTTAGATGCATAGACACCGCCCCCTTTGCAAAGCTTATATCCTGGGAAGACTGAGCCTAGTTCAAGAGAGGGGCCCAGAAGTGTGCCCCCTCTGCTTGAAATGCTGTCTTCTTGCTGGAACTAACTGGCTGGGAATAGGGATCTCTGACTCAGCAAGAGCTGAAATGTGAGGTGGCCAGATGAGACTGGGTTTTTCAGGAGGGCCGTGGCCACTGAGGAGTTTAAAGCAATAATAATAATGACGATGATGTTGTTGTTAAGTGCCATCTGACTCTTAGCGATACAGAATTAGAGTTACTGAGGAGCGGCTAGTGGGTTTGAACAGCCGACCTTGCGGTTCAAACCAACCTCGACGTCAACAGCTACCAATTCATCATTATTGCTAAATGTTTTTGAGGCACGATGTACACAGTAAGTGCAGTAATCTTAGGTGTGTAAATTCGATGGAAATTTTACCTGAGTCTGCTAACCAAAAGGTTGACGGCTAGAACCTACCAGTTGCTAGAAATTAAAATGAGGCTGTCTAATCACCTAATGGAAGGAGCTCTGGTAGCGTAGTGGTTACGAATCGGGCTGCGAACCTTAAGGTCAGCGGTTTCGAAACTACCAGCCGCTCCGCGGGAGAAAGATGAGGCTTTCTACTCCCGTAAAGATTTACACCCTCGGAAACCCTGTACAGGGTCGCTATGGGTCGGACCCGACTCGATGGCACTTAACAACAACAACAACAATCACCTAATGGAGTCCTGGTGTGGCGCTGTTGGTTAATGCACTTAACTGCAAAGTCGCTTTGAACCACGAGGTCGCTAACTCAAGTTCTCACCAGCCGCTCCTCGGAAACCCTATACAGGGTCGATATGGGTCGGAACCGACTCGTCGGCACTTAAAAACAAAAAGGTGGAAGTGGAAGGAGCCTTGGTGGCACAGTGGTTAAGCGCTTGGCTGCTAACAAAACCAGCAGCTGCTCCTCTGCCCTGCGGGAGAGAAATGACAGCCTAGGCTAGCCCCAGCGGGGTAGGTAGTTCTACTCCGTCCTGTAGGATCCACTCCAGGGCAAAGATTTGGTGTGGGCCTTTGAATGCGTCCTTACGTCCTAATGACACGGCCTGGTAACTGCTGGGTAAGGAAAGGGGAAAAGCTTTGTGCACGGGGTTGCAAGTATAGGAACCGCCACCGTGTCCTGAACGTGCCCAGGGCAAGCTGCGAATGTTACTCATGCCCAGGAGGATGACGGAGAGCCCCATATGCCAGGCTGCCGGGGACTGCACCCAATCAGTCCCCGGCCTGACCCAGGCTTCACTCCACTCAGGCCTCCGTCACCTAGGCTGACCACGCGCCGCCAATAGGAAGCGGCCTTACGCCCTGCGACAGCTCTCGGGTTCTTCCGCATGTCTCCGCAGTGAATACGTCACTCGGAACGCCGGTTGGCGGTCTTCCAACCAACCAGCGCCCGCCTCCTTGGCCAGGACAGTGACGGTTGGCGCTGTGCTCCAGCAACTCTGCGGAAGGCGGGGTCCAATTGGCGCCCATAGTGTCCAATGGGCAACGCGCGCGAGGCGCGGAGCCAATGAGCACTCCGGGGGCGGGGCGGGCACCGCGGCGGGCGGCTACGAGGATCCACTGGTAGGGACGGCGGCGGCCGGTGGCGGCGGGCGGTCATGGCGGAGGCCGGCAATGACGACGGCCGCTGCGTGCGGTTGAGTGCCGAGCGGGCCCGTGCGCTGCTGGCCGACGTGGACACGCTCCTGTTCGACTGTGACGGCGTGCTGTGGCGCGGCGAGGCGGCGGTGCCCGGTGCGCCCGAGGCCCTGTCTGCGTTACGAGCCCGTGGCAAGCGACTCGGCTTCATCACCAACAACAGCAGCAAAACTCGCGCCGCCTACGCCGACAAGCTGCGGCGCCTAGGTTTCGGAGGCCCGGCAGGGTCCGGCGCGGGTCTCGAGGTTTTTGGCACGGCCTACTGTACCGCGCTTTACCTGCGCCAGCGCCTGGTCGGCGCACCAACGCCCAAGGCCTTCGTGCTCGGCAGCCCGGCGCTTGCGGCTGAGTTGGAGGCTGTGGGTATCGCCAGCGTGGGTGTGGGACCCGAGCCGCTGCAGGGCGACGGTCCTGGCGACTGGTTGACCTCGCCTCTGGAGCCGGACGTACGTGCCGTGGTGGTGGGCTTCGACCCCCACTTTAGCTATGCGAAGCTCACCCGGGCCTTGCGCCACCTGCAGCAGCCCGGCTGTCTGCTGGTGGGCACCAATTTGGACAACCGGCTGCCCTTGGAGAATGGCCGCTTCATCGCGGGTTCGTGCACCCGGATGGCGGTGGGGGAGGGGGGGGAGGAGAGTGGTCCCGGGCCCGCTCTGATCCCGCTGCTGACCCCGGCCACTTTTCTTGTGTGCCACCCCTCCCCAGGTACCGGCTGCCTGGTCCGCGCCGTAGAGATGGCCGCCCAGCGCCAGGCAGACATCATAGGGAAACCCAGCCGCTTTATCTTCGACTGTGTGTCTCAAGAATACGGCATCAACCCAGAGCGCACCGTCATGGTGGGGGACCGGCTGGACACAGACATCCTCCTGGGCGTCACCTGCGGCCTGAAGACTATCCTGACCCTCACTGGCGTCTCCACGCTAGATGATGTGAAAAGGAACCAGGAAAGTGACTGCGTGTTGACGAAGCAAATGGTTCCCGACTTCTATGTTAACAGCATAGCTGATCTTTTACCTGCCCTTCAAGGTTAAAGATTCCATGTCTTTAATCGCCAGAATAAAAAAAAAAAAAAATCGAAAAATCAGTTAACCCAGATTACTAGGTTGGCCTCAGGCATGCACTGTGGCAGAGAGCGTCCAGCACTGTACTTAATCTGCAGCTAAGCCATGACCTTGTAAGTGGACGCTTGGGGAGGGAATGGGTTGACTTTGATTACAGATGTCTCTATTTTCAGATGCACTTTTTAAGGTGGAGGGCATTGTGGGGGACCTGGATCTTGGGGTTCAGCATCTGCTCAGGATCCTGGCAACTTTGAGGACTGAGGCAGGCGAGCTATACTTTGTAGAAAATCTTGTCCTGGGATCGTGGAGTATGAAGAAAGATTGTACCTGTGATGAGCAGTATGGACCAACAAACCTCCTTTGGTGTGGTACCAGTTGAGGGGCTCTTCCTAGTGTCTACTCCTCCTTGGAGTGCAGGATGCTGCTCTTACCACCCTCCCCCACTTCCTTGAAAACCACTCTGATGTCCCAACTGAGTGTGGGTTCCGTTTCAAATGTCCAGGGTTGCCACTCTTCCTCACACAGTCACACAATCTTGGCCTGGCTGTCTGTCAGCCATCTCAAATGTGCATTCAATCCAGGTGACTTCTGGGGTCAGAGGCCACGAACAGCCAGAGGTGGCCACTGATCCCCAAGTCGGTGTAGCCCAGGGCAGCACCAATAGCAAAAAAACAGAGTTATTAAAAGACTACAATCTTGTCGTGGATGGAGTGAAATCTGTGTAATTAGGGGACAAGCCCGTGGGCATGCCCAGTGCCCACAGTTAAAGAAGTTTGCTAGCTAAGGAATGCCTGCCACCCAGGACGCCCTCTGGAGGGGTGGGGGAGGGTGTCCCAGAAATAGGAAGTACTTTCAGAAAGTATCTGGTCTCCTGTCCTCAGATGCCCTCAGCTGGGCTTGGGGTGCCTTTGGCCACCTCTCTTGGCCCTGGGTTCCTTCAGTGGCCAGCAGGAGGAATGGCCAGGTCCCCAGCTAGCCTGTTCTTGGCAGGGGGCCCTGGCCAGTCCTGTTTCCAGAGTTTGCTGATCTCTAGGGAATAACCAGGAAACTTGCTTTTGGCCCACTTGTATTAGAGCCTTGCACTGAGCCCAGGCGCATCCTACACCCACCCCGCCCCCCTAGCTCTCCAACCCTTGTTCACTCAGTTCTCAGAGCAATAAAGGGTATCCTGAGTCCCCATCACCCCACAGATCTGGGATATGGACCCCATCATGAGCTGGCAAATCAGCTGCTTTGTTCCAAGGGTAAGGTATGGCACTGGGAGGGAGGTTCCACCTGTGAGCTGGGTGCTACTATCCTTGGCTCTGCTCCAGGAAATGCCCCAGGTGATAGGGCAGGCCTTCTAGGTACTGTCACCCAAAGCAGGTGTGGTAGGCATCAGATGGGAGGAGCCCATGCTCACAGCTTCCCCTGGGGCCCACTGCTGGAACCTAAATGCACATTAAATTCTCACTGCTCACTTGTTCTTGGTCTTGTCGTGTGAATCACTTAGGGCCTAGACTGAAGCAGCTGCTCCAGCCTTTGGGGTAGAGGTGGGAGGGCTGGTGGGGAGTTCTAGTTCCAGGGATGGAACACAGAACCCTCCGGCTCCATGTTCCAGACAGGTAGGTTGGAAGACTAAGGTAGAGGAGACACAAGGGGAACTCAGGGCTGGAGAGGACTGGAGGCAGTTGGCAGGCATGGCACACAACCAGCACAAGCCCACTCTAGAGAAGGGCAACGCTGGCCATGGCTGGCAGACACAGACTGGGAGCCAGTTGGAGACAGGGCAGTTAATTGGGCAAAGCAAGTGGCACCGACTGACAAGGGTGGCTTTAGCATCCGCCTGGGATCCCATATCACGTTGACAGGCGGGGAACCAGAAGCCATGGGAGGTATACTGACTGGACAATAGCTAGCCTGTGTGGGGTTTCCAAGGAGCAGCTGGTGAGCTCGAACCACCAACTCACAGTTCAAACCCAACTGTGCAGTCCAGCACCACAGCAGGGCCCATACTGGTTCCCGTTACATAGGCACTGACTGGTGGCCAGGCCCTGGGACTGCAGGAAGTTAAAGCCCAGCTCCGAAGGGCTGGCTGTCCCTCCCTCCAGCAGGGTACCAGCTGTGAGTCTACCTGGACTTCCCCAGAAAGGCAGGCTCTGCACTGCCCTCCGTCTACGTCTAAGTCTCCACTCACCCAGCTGCAGGAGCCTGGCGTCTGCCCCTCCCCTAGCTGGGGGTGGGGGCTGCCCTGGCTCACAGCTAGGTATCAGGTGGCTGTGCTGGGGAGGAGCCGTGGGGTCAGAGGGGAAGGGGATGGCTGTTTGGCTCATCCCAGGTGTCCCAGGATGACTCCAGGGGGAGTTGCAGACAGTCGGAGCATTGTTGGCAGGGTGGCAACATGGAGCAGGGGAGCTTCCCTGTGGAGTGCCCTGGGCCCATCAGGGTGAGCCTCCCCCGACGCCACGGGAGACCTGGGCAGAAAAAGGCATGCGCCTTCCCAGTCTCTGCTCCAGTGTGACCCTGTGTGTCCCCAGGTGAAGAACGCAGCCTGCCTGGTGGGGTGGCGAACCCCAGGGTCGCTGCTGCTGCTGCTGCTGGCAGGAGTCACTGCTGGGGCCGTAGCTGGGGGACTTCTGGGTTCTATCCATGACCTTCCCAAGGTGAGCCCCAGACGACCAGGCTAGGGGCAGGGCCAGTGGGAGGGGACTGGAGACCCTTGGAGGACACTGGCTGGGGGCGCTGGAGAGGATGTGGGAGATCGGGACCCCACATCTCAGCCACTGCTGCTATTCCTCCAGACCCTTCAGAGCCCCCAGGCCAACCAAACCACCCTGGTGGATGTGGACAGAAACATGGCCACTGTCACTGTGACCCCTCCTCGGAGCAACCGAAGCTGGGTGGTTCTATTCGACGGGCAGAGCGTGAGTGACTTGGGGGTTGGTGGCCATCAGGCCCCTCACAATGTTGGGAGGTGCTGCTCACCCACCTGCCTCCCCAGGGCTGCGTCTGCTACCGGCCTGCAGGTCACCCAGCCTGCTTTCTGCACCCCATGGAGCCCCGGGACCAGGAGACCTTGTGGCTGCTGGTGAACAGCTCACAGGTAAGTGGCTACTTGCAGGCGGGTCAGGCCTGAGGTCCACACAAAGGCTCCTGTGTGCCGCTTGAGCTATAGGGCCACAGAGCTCTGGTTTCAGGGGAACAGAAGGCACTATCATCCCCTGGTTGTGGACGCTGACAGGAGCAGGGGGCCGGGCCAGCGTTGGGGGATGTCTGGGAGGAGGAGCCACAAACTCTGGATCCCATCCTCTCCCCCGCGGCCCACCAAGCGTCTCCGCAGGCCCCAGGGATCCGAGGCCCCAGCCAGGACAGTGGCTACACCACCCAGGAGCTGCTGGCTGTGCTGGGGAGGGAAGAGGTGGACCCTGCCCAGGTGGGGCCTGCAGTGCAGCACCTGTGTACCCAGACACCCATCTACTGGGCCCGTCGTACAGAGGGTGAGAGGGACAGGTCCCCAGGGTGTGGGTGGTGGAGAGAAGGGGCCCTCTGGGGATGGATGGAGACTGATGGAGACCCTCCTCCCAGGGCCCCTGAGACAGCGGTTGATCTACCTCTGTATTGACATCTGCTTCCCAAGCAACATCTGCGTGTCCGTATGCTTTTATTACCTGCCTGACTGACCCGTCCCTGCCACCAGCACCATGGAGGGCAGTCCCCCAGTGGAGACTAATAAATCCACCCCCACCTGGCAACAGTAGCATCTTCTGTGGTCTTAGGATGTGAAATGAGGGCAGGGAGGGTGAGGAAGCGCTGGCCTGGGTGGGCTGGAATGTCTGAGGGAACTGCAGGCTAGCCAGGAGCCACAGCCAGCCTGGCCTGAGCCAGCCCTCAGGAGCCCTGTCACATCCAGATAAGCAGAGAGAGCTCAGGGCAGCACCTCCCAGCTGAGGTGGGTCCACTCTGTCCATGGCCTCCAGCAATGCAGCCACCTGGCACAGTGGAGAGGGGCACAGGCTAGCCCAGCACACTGTCATTGAAGGCCAAGCAAACAACAGCTTTCTGGTGGCCGCCATACTCCCTCTTGATCTCCCCGGTCTCCACACACCAGAGCCGTGCCAAGTTGTCAGAGGACGCTGCGGGGAGAGGACTGGGTCAGGGCACGTGAGTCCAGGTGAGTGTGGCTGAGGAAGGGAAGGCAGGGCAGGGGGCGGTGGGCAGCCTCACCAGTGACGATGTACTGGGAGTCCCCCGAGAAGGCGCAGCCCCACATCCAGCCACGGGATGACTCCCCAGGATTGCTGCTCTTGATGCTCAGCTCCGTCACCAAGGCAAAGTTAGACGTCCTCCAGATTTTGCATGTCTGGTCAGCCGAGCACGTGGCCAGGAGCCTGCAGGTGGGGGCCAAGGGAGATGTTCACCCTGCCAGCAGCCTGCCCAGCACCCCCAGCCCACCCTGCCCACACCCACGTGGAGTCAGGGCTGAAGCGGCACTGCAGGGCGTAGCGGGTGTGCGCTGGGATCTTGGTCTTGGGAATCAGCTGTGTGACCTCATCACCGATGCCCCCTGTGAGGTTCCAGACGAAACAGCTTCCCTATGGGTCAGAGGGAAAGTCAGGGGGTCCAGGACTGAGGGGCAGCTCCAACAATGGGCCACACTGACTGACCATGAAGGGAAGCCGTTCTGGAAGATGCTACCACTACCATGTGTGAAGAGCAGGATGGGAGAGACCTGGGAGGCTGGAGAGGGGAACAAGTTGCAGACCAGGGTGAGGATCAAGGATGCGGATGACAGGAACCAGGGAGACAGAGCTGATGGGGACAGCAAGTGGAGCCCTGGTGTGCACAGCTGAGGTCATACGTGTGACGTGGTCGATGGGTGTTGGATCCAGGAGGTGAAGCAGGGTCACAGGGGGAGGGAAGGGTCCAGCTGTGTTGGGTAAGGACTAGGGCTGCTGGGAACTCACGGCGCTGTTGACAGCTGCCATGTAGCTGGCGTCGGGGTCAATGTGGGTAGACATGATGGAGACCTCAGGTTCGGGGATCAGCTGTTCATTGTGGTCCGTTTTCAAGTCCCAGATGTGGATGGCCCCGCTCTGGTCCCCCACGATGAGTTCTGCCTGGGATGCAGGGGAAGGGAGGCCGGTCATAGCCCCCAGCCTTCTGAGAGTCAGGGTGCCCAGCTCCATGAGGCCCCCTCACCTGGTTGGGGTGCAGGCACACACAGTTGATGGGGGCATTGACCTGGAAGATGCGCTGGCACTGCAGGTTCCGGGACCTGGGGCAGGGGGCACAACGCTGTGGGGGCTCTACCCGGACACTTTCTACCTAGCAGATTTAGCTCTACTTACAGGAAGCCGTCCTGGTGGCGTACTGGTTAAGAGCGCTCAGCTGCTAACCAAAAGGTCAGTGGTTCAAACCCATCAGCAACTCCATGGGAGAAAAATGTGGCAATATGCTTTTCCTAAAGCCTTGGGAACACTATGGGGGCAATTCTACACTATCCAATAGGGTGGCTACAAATCAGAATCGACTGGATGACAACAGTCTTTGTCTGCTGATAGGACTACCCTCCTTAGGGGTATGTTGTTGTTGTTGTGTGCCATGGAGTCGGTTCTGACTCATAGTAACTCTGCACAGGGTTTCCAAGGCTATAAATCTTTACGGGAGCAGAAAGCCTCATCTTTCTCCTATGGAACAGCTGGTAGTTTTGAACTGCCAACTGAGGTTAGTAGCCCGATTCATAACCACTACGCTACCAGAGCTCCTTCCTCATGGGTATAAAGGTCTCTAAGAGAAACTAGCTATTTGATGCAATTCATTCTCCAAGACTCCCAAGGGGTCAGCCTCTTGTCTTTGGCTTCAATCCTGTATCACTTTACATTCAAATTTCTTTTACTAAATGCCCCCCACTACCACCCTGCCTCAGCCTCTCCTTGGAGGGCACCTGGCCTAAGACACCCCACAGGGCGCCCCCACCTGAGATCCCAGATCCTGGCAGTGCAATCCTCCCCACCCGTGTACATCCAGCGGCCATCCTCGTGGAAGCCCACGGACGCAATGTTCTTGTTGACGCCATCATAGCTGATGATTGGATTGGGATTGTTGGAGTTGAGATCGTACATGCGGATGTGCTGGTAACCTGGAAGCACAGACAAAAAATAAGCTTGGTGGTGCCCAGCTCCACCCAGTGGGCAGCAGTAGCAGTCAGGGGTCAGGGGTACCTGCAGCTGCAATCATGCTGCGGTCTGGAGTGATCTCGAGCGCATTCACCTGCTGGCCACGTCAAGGAACGTGACAGGTGGAGAGACCAAGAGCCCTGAAGACTAGCCCTCTGACCTGACCACTGCCCCCCCTGCTGCCCCCTGTGCATCTCCCCTGCCCTCCCACCCCCACCCCGAGGTGGCGGATACAGAATCCTGATGCTGTACTGTACGGGTGCATATCCCACTGTGGGCCTGCCAGAACCGCACGGTGTGGTCGTAGCCAGCAGTGGCCAAGATGACTGGGTCGCTGCCCACCGTGCCTGGGGACGTGTTCATGGTGGGGCACTTAGAAATGGCTGAACAGCAGGGTCAAAGGTCAGAGCATCTGGGGAAGAGAGAGGCGAGGAGGATTTAGGGCATACTCTGTGTCTCAAGCAGATACAGGAGTCCTGGTGGGGCACTGGATAAAGTGCTTAGCTACTGATGCAGTTTGAACCAACCAGTCCTTGGGAGGGAGGAAGATGAGGCGTCCACAAAGGTGACAGCTTTAGAAACCGTCTGGGGCTCTACTGTGCCCTACAGGGTCACTATGAGCCCAAATCCAGCCAACAGAAGGGTTTCTGGGGGAATGAACCTGTAATATACTTCAGTGGATTCTGATTTAGGACAAGAGTAGACCAGAACAGCCCCATAGGGTTTCCAAGGCTATAAATCTTTACAAAAACTGTCACATCTTTCTGCCATAGAATGGTTGGTTAGTTCCAACTGCCGACTTTTTGGTTAACAGCCCAACATTTAACACACCGCGGCACCAGGCCTCTAAACATTCCCGTCTTAAAGATGAGAAAACTGAGGTCCAAAGAGGTTCGGGGGGCTTGTACGACTGCAGTGAGTGACAGCTCCGCTGGGACGCCACCCCACGCACGAGCGATAGGGGGCAGTCACGCCCGGGACGTCCGCTCTGCCGCAGGGTCGAGCCGCGCCTGCGCGGGGCCACAGGCCCACTGGGGAGGAATACCGAGTGCTGCGGTCGCGCGTGCGCAGCAGGCCGGCAGCGGGACCTGGTGGGAGGGGGCGCTGGTTGGCTGGACCCATGAACTCACCTGTGCTCCGCCGGCCGCCCCGGCTCCGTTCAGCTGCGCCGACTTTCCCCTACCGCGCTCTCCTGGCCACCTGGCAGCCACCTACCGGCTCTCGTCCCACTGCCTCCGTACCTTACATGCGACTCCGCACTCCGCTGAGGCTCAGGACGGCGAGAGGAGCCAGAGCAAGTCGATCGAGGTCGAGCTTAGCGTTATCGATGGGCCTTAGGACGACACCATGGGAAGCGCGAGATGGGGGGGTGGATGGGACGAGACCAAGGTCCTAACACGGGGGGGCTTCACCTGCCGCGGATACCCCAATCTTCTTCCCACTAGGGCACCCCACCTCTCTGAACGGCTGCTCATTTTCCAAGGTTGGGCTCCAAGGCGGAGTCGCGTTGTCCCCATTACCTGCCCCTACCTGCAATGCCCTATCCCGAGGCTAGAGTTGCCAGAAAAACGCAAGCTGCACAGTTAACTTGGATTTCAGATAAAGAATAATTTTTAAGTCTAAGTACATGTATGCCCCAAATAGCACACAGAGAATACTTAACACTAAAAAGAAAAAAAATCCCGTTGCTTCTGTGAAATTCACATTTAAGTGGACATTCCGTCTGTTCTTTATTATTTTCATATTTCTGGCAATGTTGAAACGCTCTGCTACTAACCAGAAAGTTGGCAGTTCAAACCCACCCAGAAGCACCTTGGAAGAAAGGCCTGGCAATCTCCTTACAAATGGTCCCATGTGAAAACCATGCAATAGAGTGCCATAAGTTGGAATCTACCCTACTGCAGCCGGATAGTTGTTGGTTTTTCAACTCAATCCTGGCCCTTTCTGCTTGTCCAGCCCCAGTCTGGCCCTGTCTGGGGACGGGTGGGGGTGGGGGCACTCAGTTTAGGGACTCTTTCAAAATCTGGAACTTCACACCACCTGCTCCCGCCCCTCCCCACTCCACTGTGGTCTTAGCCTCCTCACAGAAAACCAGAGTCCTTGAGAAGGGTCCTCCCCCGGGTTCTTCCCACCACATGTCCAAAGGCAGCTGCACCTCCCCTTCCTTCCTTTGATGCTGGACAGAGGCTGAGTCCTCGCCTGTCTACCCAGGCACTGGGTGCCAACCCTTCTGTAGTTCCAGAACCTTCCTTCCTGTATCTCTCTCCTCCCCGTCCTTCCTAGTGTCCGTTATGGGCATTGTTGTGAACTGCCATCAAGTTGATTCAAATCGGAGCAGATTCAGATCCCCAGCCCCTGGTGTTAGTACTGGTTCGAACACTTCCAGAGCTTCTCCTGTGTCCGGAGGTCAAACAACACATCAGACACACCTCTTTAAAGCACACAAGTCTGTAACATTTAAGTACCTTTGCAACATGGTAGGATGGGGTTTCTAAGCCGATCACCAGGCCTTTGCTGTCAAGGAGCCACTGGTAGGTTTGAACTGGTAATCTTTCCGTTAGCAGTTGAGTATGTAACCACTACTCCACCAAGACCCCTTTAAACATAGTCACCCACTGCCGACTCACAGATGCCCTCTCAGACACAGTAGAACTGCCCCATAGGGTTTCTGAGGCTGTAAGTCTCTATGGAAGCAGACTGTGATGTCTTGCTCCCTCGGAAAACTGGTGGGGTTCTAACCCCCAAACTTCAGGTTAGAATCCTGAACATCATAAAGCCCCCGAACCCTGTCCTTCAACTTGCCTTGCCAGATCCTTCACCTGCTTGTCCTCCACCCACTAGGAAGTGGCTCTTCCTCCCAGCTCTCCAGCAAACGCTCACAAGGCCACTGGCTGCCTCACTTTGCCAAAACCAAGTGGTGACTTTGCTTTCTGTCCCTCTACACTTAGGGAGTCCTGGTGTGGTGCTGTGGGTTAATGCGCCAGACTGCAAAGCTGTTTGAATTGCTTTGCAGTTCAAGCTCACCAGCTGCTCCTCAAAAACCCTATACTGAGTCGCTATAGGTCAGAATCGACTCAACGCACTTAACAACAACACTTGGGCCAAGGAACTCTGGTAACATAGTGGTTATGAATTGGGCTGCTAATCTCAAGGTCAGCAGTTCGAAACTACCAGCTGTTCCACTAGAGAAAGATGAAGCTTTCTGCTCCCATAAAGATTTATAGCCTCAGAAACCCTATGCAGGGTCACTATGAGTCATAACCGACTCCAAGGCACATTACAACCACCACCACACTTGGGCATATGGGGGCCTGCCCCGTTTCCAGAAAACTTCTATGTCCCACATTTTAACCAGGGGTTCTGAGGTTTTGCATCTCTTCCTGCCCACCCACTTTAGTTTCCTTCTTCCATGTAAGTCTGGTCCCTTCTCCTTATGTCCCAGAATTATTTTTTCTGTGCACCACCCTGACCCTGGGGCTCTCATTCACTCCGGGTTTCCAATCCCATCCCTGCTCCAGCGTCACTGCACCCTGTCTCCGGCTCTGCTGGCTTCTGGCTTCCAGAGCCTCAGACCTGCCTGGCACGTCTGTCTGCCTGTCTTAGGCACTGTCACTCTAAAGCCACGAAGACACTTCCACTTTGCATGTCAATAGAGCTCATCTTGTCCTGTCCCGCATGCACGCACGCATGCACGCACTCAGGCACACAGTGCCTCTGTGATTACAGCTAGGTGTGATGACAAACTTCCTTTCATGTCTATTCACTACTCAATTTGCCTCCTACTCATCCCTCTGTTCCCTCCTGTCCACCGCCCCCAGTCTAGCCCACGCTGCCATCCTTGAGCCTATCCTGGCCTCCGAGGAGCTGGTCTCCTACCCCCATCCCCCCATCCACCCCCTCCAGCCTGTTCTCCACAAGTGCTCAGGGACCTGAAGGGCACCTACCTCTGTATGACCAGATGAACCAGTCTCTGAACCCCCACACCCTCCTCTTAAACGTTCAGTTGACCTTTACCTGCCCAGCCCCTGGTGTCAGTACTGGTTCGAACACTTCCAGAGCTTCTCCTGTGTCCAGAGGTCAAACAACACATCAAAGGCACCTCTTTAAAGCACACAAGTCTGTAGCATTTAAGCACCTTTGCAACATTGTGCAGCCAAGCATGTTCATCAGCCCTAAAGGGAAACCTCAGGAGTCTTGGTTTGGCGCTGTGGGTTAATGCGCTAGACTGCACAGCCTTTTGAACGTCAAGGTTGGCGGTACAAGCTCACCAGCTGCTCCTTGGAAACCCTATACAGGGTCGCTATGGGTCGGAATCGACTCAACAGCACTTAACAACAACAACAACAACAACAAGGGGAAACCTCATACTCCTTTTCCTTCCCCCCACCCGGATAAGCACTAGTCTATGTCTGTCCCTGTGTGGATTTACCTATTGTAAGTGGGATCATCCACATCAGTGTGTGTGTTTGGCTGCATTCATTCAGCATGACATTTTCCAAGCCCATCCATGTTGTAGGATGCATCCGAACTTCATTTCTCTTTATGGCTGAACACGGTTTTATTTTGTATATACTTTATTTTGCATATCAATTCATCCCTTGATGGACACTTGGGTTGATTCTACCTTCCAGCTGTTGTGAATACTACTCTAGGAATATCATTTGAGCGTGCACCTAGGAGTGGGATTTCCGGGTTAGATGGCAGCTCTAAGGAGCACTGGTGGTGCAGTAGTTAAGTGCTTGGCTGAGAACTGAAAGGTTGGCTGGTGAAGCCTACCAGCTGCTCCACAGAACGAAGATGTGGCAGTCAGCTACTGTGGAGATTTCTCTTCGACACTGTCCTATACTGTTGCTTTCAGTTGGAATTGATTTGAAGGCAATAGTTTTTTTTGGTTTATTTCAACTGTATGAGTTGCTGCATAGAGCAAATGGCTAAGCGCACTACTTAACTGAAAGGTTGCGGATTCGAACCTGCCCAGAGGTGCTTTAGAAGACAAACCTGTGGTTTGGCTTCCAAAAGATTCCAACCTTGAAAACTCTGTAAAGCATGGTTCTACTCTGCATGCTTAAGGAGCTCCGGTAGCGTAATGGTTACGAATCGGGCTGTGAGCTGCAAGGTCAGCAGTTCGAAACTATGAGCTGTTCGTGAGAGAAAGATGAGTCTTTCTGCTCCTGTAAAGATTTACAGCCTCAGAAACCCTGTACAGGGTCTCTGTGAGTGGGCACCACGTCAGTATGAACTAATGGCAGTGACCATGTTCAGCTTTTAGAGGAGTGGCCACCCTTCCACCCAGTGTTCCCAGTACCACTGCTGAGTAGGTAGACACCTGCATTTTGGAGTTGGGGAAACCGAGGCTCAGAGATACAGACTCAGGAGTCCAAGGTCACAAGGCTAGAATTTGTTAAGACTCCAGACTTTGTGTGATCCCAAGCAATCCCTGCTCCTCTGACCCCCACCTCATCTTCCTTCCTGGGCCAGGGTCCATAGCAGCCTTCAAGGCAGAGTCCATGAGTCACAGGGAACGTGAACTCAGAAGGCCGAGAGAGGAGAGGCCCTGTGCACCCCAGTGCTGAGAGGGTGTCCAGAGGGCCCTCAACCCCATGGAGGAGGAGACTGAGAGGGAGCAACTGGAAGTGGGGAGGCCAGGGAAGTCAGAAGGACTTGTCAGATATCTGTGGGGTCCTGCTTGTGGCCCTCAGCCTGCAGCATCTCTGGGGTCAGGGGCACAGTCTGGGAGTCTGCAGATGTCCCAAGCTTGGGGGACACTGAAAATTCGGACAAGACCCCTGACCAGTCTGAGCTGCTGAGCGTTTGCTGTTAGGAACATCAGACAAGAGCTCCCACTGGTGTTACTACACGCCCGCACCAGGGAAGTGCTCTGCCTAGGTGCCTCTCCAAAGAATGACAGACAGAATTGCCACGGACACATGCTGTGTGCTCCTGGGAGCCTGAGGCAAAGGGGCACATTCATCATCCTCATTTCACAGTGAGGGACCAGGGTTTTGGGGAGATGAGAGGGCACAGGGGACTCGAAGTGGCCTGGAACAGACAGTGCGGCCGCTGCCCGGGCATCTGGGAGAACAGCCAGCCCAGGCTGCAGTGAGCAGCTTCAAACTCTGCTCAGGGGCAGAGCATCTGCAATTCTGCTAGCTCAGCGGACACTCCTCCAGAACTGTCCTGAGAGGCCCCTCTTCTGGAAGACTGCCAAACCACACCTCTGCATTCTCCTTCCCCTGCCAGAGCAGCTGCCTGCTGATGCACTGCCCCCGCCCCCATCCTGGGGGACCCCTCGCCGGTGGTACACATCTCTGTTTACCTGCAAACTCTCCCATCAGCCTTGGGAGACAGGCAGAGAGCTACTGGCCCATTTTACAGATGGAGCAAATGAGCATCAGGAACTTGTCTAAGACTGCCAAGCTGGTCCTGGGAAATCTAGGGTTCCCAGACTCTCCAGCCATACTGCTCCCAGAGGTTGAAGAGTTCATGGGGTCTCAGGTAGGATCTCTCTCACCTGGAACCTACATTTGGGGTGCCCAGGACCCCAGAATTCCCTGTCCAGTGACCCTAAGTCCACTCTCAGGGTCAGTCTATGTATATTGAGGTCTGTGGGGTGTTCGTTTGTGGGTTGCAGAGGTTGCTACGGACAGAGAACAGGAGTATGCCCCCTACAGGCAGAAGACAGTTCTTCACTTAGGGAAATCGAAGAATCCTCAACTTGAACTTGGTCTTCCTCATTATAATTTGTCTAGCTGGAAGGCTGGAACATATAAGGAGGCTTCAAAATGTTTATGGAAAAATTCTATTTTCATCAACTTTTTAAAGCGTCCTTATATTTTATCTAACAGTTATTGGCATGATTTGTAACATTTAAATATTTAGACATTGATTGGGTAGTGGGCCTTCATCTGTACCCTCACCCCAGTCCTCGCAAGCGTTAGGCAAAAACCAGGCCGCTTACCTTAACCAGCTCCAAACAGAATAATGATGAGAGCTGTCCTTTTTTGTTTAGTGCGTGCCCGGCACACTGAGGCACGGCTATGGCTACTATGGTGCAGGTGGAGAGACTCAAGAAATCACAAGCTCCTGACAGCCGGGTTGGAGCACTTACTAAGTCCTGTGCTTTGCAGAGAGCATCACGGTTAGTTCCCTCAGAATCTCTGTGGAGGTCCTATTCCCATCCCCGTTTTACATTTAGGGAAACTAACTCAGAAAAATAAAGCAACCTGCTCATCTTCACAGAATCACTAAGAGGCAGAAAGAACAGGGATCTGTGTAGAGACTATGACTTCAGACGAGTCGAGTCACTTAGCTTCTCTGCGCCTCAGTTTCTTCATCTGTAAAATGGGGACAAGAAGTCCAATCTAGAAGGTTCACTGGCATGGTGCCTGACTCTAGTCACCATCAAGGAAGGTGAGGGAAGGGCCCTTTCATTTCAGGGCTCCTCTAGGAGTCCTGGTGGTGCAGTGGTTAAGCGTTGAGCTGCTACTGAAAGGGTGATGGTTGCTAACTACCAGTTGCTGTGTGGGGTAAAGATCCAGCCATCTGCTTCCAACAAGAAGGAATGCTCATGGACAGCTCTGCTCTGTCCTATGTGGTTGCTATACTATGAGTTACAATCTATGGGAAGACAGTGGGTTCCCAGGGGCTTAGGAGACGCCACAGGGAAATGCTAGCTGCCTGATCCCTGGACCTCTATCCCTAGGGCTTCCCCTTCCCCACCCTCCAGCAACCCCTCCTTGGTGCTCCTGGCTCCATGGGAGGGGCCCATCTTATGTGTGGCCCCTCATAACAGCCTTGCCTTCTTGGGTTGATGATCTGCCCACCTCTATAAATGAGGAAACCAAGGCTGAGTCCAGACACAGCCCTGGATACCCCTGTCCCTAGAAAGCTGTAGGTAGGGTGACGGGAGAACTGGCCCATACCCAGGGCCTGAGGGCCAAGAGCAGTGAGACTGTCCTCTGGGACCGTCCGTCTGTGGGTGGAGGCTGAGAAGCACACTGGTGACTCCTGGGGACAGGGGGATGGCTGACCTTCACTTAGTAATGGAGGGGGCTGTGCCCTGCTTGTGTTAATGTTGGGGGTGGGGATTTGAGCCCTGACTGGTACTGGTTGGTCCTGGGAATGGAGGCAGAGCCTGGTTAATTTTGGATTGGAATTGAACTACACTTGGTGTTGCAGTAGGGGGTGGGAGGGGGGTTGTACCCTGTTTGGGGTTGGAGGTTGAGGGTTGAGCTAGGTTGGTTTGGGGATGGGGGGTTGGGTTGATGCTGGGGAGGAGGGGCTGCACCTCTTTGCTGCTGGGGGCTCCATATTGTTTGTGAGGAGGCTGGGAGTCTGCCTAAGGAAGGTGTAGTGGGGGTGCGGGTTCCCTGACACAGAATTCATTACTGGGAGATTCCTCTTCACAATCCCTCGACACCTCCCACGGGAACCTCGGGCCAGAAAAGTCTGACAGCCACGGGCGGGCGGGACACTCGGGTGGCGGGTAGCAGGTGCCCGGGTCCCCGCCCGCTGCCCTTGGCCCCGGAGTCCCTCCTTCCCCC